ATGTCTCAATCATAGATCAAACTGCAATATCGTCTAGCTATATGCATTATTGTATGTCTGGCGACTTTTCGAGCTCCCCTTCCACTACGCCACAGTTGGACAGGAATTGGCACAGTTTAAGAGTCACACGCTGTACGCGTCACAACAAATGAATTTAATCCAATTAAATTGTCAAATAACAAAAGAAAAAGGTAACAAAGAAACAGATTTCGAGTTATTGTAATAAGCGACGATCTGAAACAGTTGACAGATTGGACAGGTGGTGCGAAAGGCGCAGTTAAAAGCGTAAATACACAAATGCGACACATAATAAACATGTTTAATCAGTTTTCCAAAATTGAGAAGAAACGCGTCATTATTTACGCGCTTAGGCGTACAAATAATTAAGGGGCATACGTTGAGGTGAGGTCGCGCGTCGAGTGCGGCTTTAAAACGCTGATTGATGGCGCAACAGGTGAGCGTCTTCCCCCATAGACATAGACAACTCAATTCAATGCGAAACTCATAGAACGCCCCGAAATCTCAGCGCCACATGGCCTTAATTACTAATGCAAATTAATTTAGCGACTGTCTGCGATTGAAGTGTATTGATGTGGCCGTTAACCACTGAGCGAAACCGGATCTAATATGACAACATTTGATAACAATCTTATTAATATTATCAGATCTTTCATCATCATATTTGTCATTATCATTATGTTTAACAGTATCATTATTAATAATATTATAATTTTTATATTATTGTTATTATTATTATTATTATCATAATTTTTATTATTATTATTATTATTATCATTATTTTTATTATTATTATTATTATTATTATTGTAATTGTCTCATTCATATTCATAATAGTAATCATAATCATTATCATATTCACTCTCATTCTGATTATCATTATGAAATACAAATAAACACATCATTCTCTCAGTGTAGTTTTAAGCTGCACTCAGTGCTCGACGTCGTGTAGGTCACTGTGCGTTGGCGCTCTAATTGATGTATTTATTTAGTAATTGCTTGTACGGCTGAACATGAAACGGAACTGCGTAGAGCAGAGCCCCTGGCCAGTAGCCAGTAGCCAATGGCCAAGTCGAGCCGGACGAAGTGCGCGCAATTGGAGCACGCTTCAATGTTGTTTGTCTGGCGGGGGAACTTCCCCATGGGTCAGTTTCAAACTCGTTTGCTTGCCAAATTTCAACGGATTTCGGCAAATGACGTAAATGCTACCATGGCGGCCCGTCCAGCATTAACAAAGCATTTTTATCGAAAGTTTATAAAAAGAATATTTTGTGCATGAAAATAAATGGCCTTGGCGCCGAAGCTTTGTTTTTAAAATAACAAACATTTATTTATAAAATTAAAGCAATGCAAACCAAGCCAAATCTCCAAATGTCCAATTGCCCAACATTCCACAGAATGTCAAACAAAAGGCCAAAAGTATTATTTTGGCTCGTATAATTGTGTTTTAATACCATTATTTACCAACTTTTAGTTAAAGTAAAATCCTAACTAAGGAGCTTAGTGGAAAAACAAATTGCTGGGTTTTTTGGCCAGCAAATTAATTTAGAAAAAAAAACATTTTTGCTGACGCTTTTTTTTTAACCATTCACAAAAATTCGCAGATTGAATTCAGCTGCTGAATGTAATCAATACCCTGTAATAGTTGATAGTGGTTGGATGAGAGAAAAATGAGGGAATGCTGCACACTTAAAATACGAACTGAAGGGCAAAGCGAACAAAGAGTAGGAGCTTCAATTCGTCCTGAAATATAGGGCATACGAAGTTTAGTTATTAAGTTATTATATATCTTATATAAACAACAACAGCTTTAACATCTTAGTGATGTATATTATTATTACTACAAACATGTTTACTCAACTTATTGCAGGGTATTTAGCGGTCACACGTATAGACAACGTTTATTTGCTTTCATTGAGTTCATATTGCGGCGTCTGATGCGAGGGGTATAAAATTTTTAAATTAATTTGCACGCAGCTGCAGTGCTGAAAGTTCCGCACTCTGACGTCGGCTGTCGGCCCATTGGCTGCTAACTGGAACTTGGAACTGGGTCTGAGTCTCTCCACTCATTTGAGACTGGGTTTTTTCTTTAATACATATATACAAATTATGCATAAATTTATGCGTAATCGCTAATGCCAAAGCTTTAAGCCGAGTCGCACGTGAGGCGCACAGCGTGGCTCGCTTTTGGTATTTTTTGAGTTTGACATGGTTCAAGTACGTTTATTAGCCATTAGCTTTTACCTTGTCATGAAATTCGGCAGAAAACAAAAGCAAAATAAAAATTTACATAAATCGCTGGCTCTGCTTTAAGGATTTGTGATTGCTGTCAAGGTTCGGCGACAGCAACAGGAAAAACATCTTAAAGTCAGAGATGTTGTGGCGTGGTTTCGTTTTGATACATGTGTGTATGTTGAGCAGACATCTTAATGAATGCATGAGTGTGCTAATTAAATGGTAATTAACACCGGTAGCCGTGCACACGTCGTACATCGCGCGCACACACACATAGTCAGCTTTAGCCTGGCTAATAGAAGTTATATATTTTTGTTTGATAAGATAAGGAGCAACGTGCATGGAGTATGGTAAACGTTGCTCTAATTAAATGAGACGTGCCTCCGTTTCCGTTTCGGATCCATTTAAGCTCGTTGAAAGCGCGTGGACAACAAAAAAATTAAAATAAATTGCGAGACTGACGCAAATAGCCAAAACACATAAAACAAAATAGATGAAAATATTAAATTGATGAACGTCTGTTCCAGGTCCGAAAATTCTGGCGAACATGTGACGTCGCAGTCAACGTCGACGTCGACGTCGACGTCGCTATCGGCCAGCGCCCAGCGTGACTGTGGTCAGTTCAAATGAAATCTATAGCTATAAATAAAATCGTTATACTACATGCTCAACGCTTGGCAACAAGCTCTGCAAAATGTCTTATGAAATCTGCCTTCTGTGAAAGCTGCCAAAAAAGAAGAAACCGACTTACGTGAAAATCTGAATAATTGCCTATATTCATAAAGAGTCATAGCTATTGTGTAGCAGTATCACAATCATCTTGCCTTGTGATCTGTTTCACTGCCAAGTGTTAAGATTGACAATACGTGATTAAAGGCATGTGTGCCCAGAATGCCGCTGGGCATGTGATGAGCAGGTGAGCCTCGGCTCCATACGCTGTCTCATGAAGCTTCAAGTGCTCTAGATTTCAGCCTAGGTGTGGCTTGCAGATCTTGAAGTGACCTATATAGTTAGTTAGTTTGGTATTTCGTAAGCTGTAAATCTGCGCCATAAATTCAACGTCCTCTTTGACCTCTGAGAATCAGTTTTCGTGCGCAGCATTTGGCCTATTTGTTAGTAGATGATAGTCATAGAGTGAATAGCAGTATTATTTTTATATTTTATTTTATTTAAATTATTTATTTTTTTAATTTGCTTTAGTTAAATACATTTTAATATAACAAATATAAAATTATATGAAATATATACAGTCACTTGACTATAATTTATATATATATTGTTATCCTAAGAGTCAAACTAGAAGATAATAAGTTTATTTCGACTATAAGCAAAACCATTTTAGGTGTTTGATTCAATGAACTGATGAATGGAGAAAGATATTTAACAGATGTAAATATATAATATAAAAATAATAAATATATATATAGATATATATAGCCAGCAGGTGTTTAAATTCGCACCTAACACTCGCTCATCAATAGCTCTATCTATACTCTAACGAAATATTTCTACCATATATCATATTTGCGACACTAACAGAGCGAGCCTCTTTTAATGTTAATAAAAAATGATTTATAATAATTATTGCGCATCAAAACTGCACTTAACAGCTGCTGTCAATGACAGTCAAAAAAAAAAAAAAATACAAAAAATAAATTAAAAGTTTACACACATTAAAAACCACAAAAATTTCCAATTGATTTTCACATTCTTAATGCCCGGCGAATAATTTAATTTGCATAATTTATTTTATGACACTCTTGGCGACTTTCCTTGCATACATACGTACATATATGTATATACAGCTTTGTTTTATATACTCAATATGGCATATAAGTCTGTGAATTGCCCATATAACGGCGCCGACTCGAATTTATTATTAAATGCCGCAACTGAGATGCTGTGAACCGGTTAAGCCCTGTCAATGTGCCCCCTGCGATGGGGAGCGGGTCGTCTTGCAGGCGCGTCTTGGCGGCGACTGTACAACAGTTGCGTCTAAAAATAAGTGTACGCCATATTTGGGTCTCAGCCGGCCAACTCCTCATATACAACAGATCAATTGATATCTTGACAAATGACAGACGCACTTAATGATAATGGTCAAAAGTCTACAAGGCCTATATATATATATGAGAAGAGCTGCGCTGAGCTGACCTGAGCTAAGCTGAGGGTATTTGATAAATCGTTCTGGGGTATCGGGAATGCAACTGTATCTGCAGCTGTCAGCCCTTTGCGGTGCTTAATTTATGCATTGGGCTATAACATGCAACGCGCAGGCCTTGCTACTAAAAATATACATGACTTGGCCTTGAGGCAGCTGCTGGTGAATGGAACGGGCCAGCATAACGGAAGAAGAACCAACAGGATTGCCCAGACTTGCCTCAATTAACTGCTCGAGAATATACAGAACAGACTGACAAGCTGAGAGCCGAGATCAGAGACCTTAGACCGGAGATGTGATATCTGTGTGTCGATTCGCTGGACCTAGGGTAACAAAATATTTATTGGCACATCCTCATACCAACTGAACGGGTTAGCTCAAGGACAAGCCAGCGAACTGGCGCCCTTGCGGTTCTTAGCCTTCCTTTAGACTATAAAAGGCAATGCTTGAGCCACAGTAAGCCAACAGTCTTTCAACTCAAGTCGTCGAAGTTGTAGTGAAGTTTTGCGTTTTTTTTCGCTTGACCAAAAAACCGATAGTCCTACAAGTCGTTGACTTATAACATACCCAGCGAGGATTCACCAAGATGCGTCTGCTACTGCTCAGCTTCTTGGCTCTGGGTGCGCATGCGCATACCATTGGCTATCGCAACAATCTGTTGGCCTATGCGCCGGCACGTGGTGAATTTCCCGTGCACAGCGAACTGGCGCAAGGCTATGCGCGCTATCTGGACAGCACTGGAGCCGAGCGTCTGATTGCCTTCACCTATCCGGAACCTCTCTACGGCATTCGCACTACTGTTCAGTCCGAGAATAGTTTGTTGCGCAGCAGCAGCTCCAATAAAGTGGAAATGCAGCAGCAGCAACAGCATTTGGCCCTCTTCCGTGCTTGGTGTGAACAGCGTTACAATGCTTTGCGAATGGAGCTGGAACGTATGCGCGCCGAGGGCAAACAGCCAACGGCCAATATCCTATCACAATACGAACCACTGGAGCAGATGATCAAGATGAATGCCTTTGAAGCTGTGCCTGGACTGACTCCCGAGCTGCAGCGTGTGCGCGATGAGCAATTGCGCATATGGAACGAGGCGCGCTTGAAGGTGATCAATGCTGAGGCAGCGTTGCCACAGCAGCCGCAGCTCAAGCAAACATTCTTTGCCGCTCAGCCACAGCCACAGCCACAAGCGGTGCCCAATGCAAAGATAGAACAGCCGCTGCTCAAGCAGAACATCTTTACCGCTCAGCCACAGAACAACGTCCCCTTGGAGTCGCCCAAGCCGGTGCAGGAAACCGAGGAGGTGAAGCGTGCTCGCGAGGAACATCTGAGGCGCTATAACGAGGCACTGCAGCAGCAACCACAGTCACAGGCACAGCCCCAGCCTCAGGCCACACAGCAACAGATTCAGGAGCAGCTTGTAAAGACCATACCCATCCAGCCCGCTGAGCAGCAGCAGGCGCCACAATCCGTGGAAGATACGCCTGAAGTGCAACGTGCTCGTGAGGAACATCTAAAGCTGTATAATGAAGCCATACTGCGTCAAGCGGCCGAGACACAGGCACAACCACAGGCACAGCCACAGCAGCAATCCTATGCACCACTGCCCACAATTGCTCCCCAAGCCGGCCTGAAGAGCTACAATCCTAGCAACACTGGAGCATACGTGCCCGCTCAGACCCCCAAGGCGCAGGCCCTGCAGATCGACACCCTAAACCAAGCTAAGCTAAAAGCCGAAGACAAAGTCGCTGACATTTCGGACAAAATACGCTACGAGGAACGTGAACAGGCCGCACAGCTGGAACTGCAGAAGGAACGTCGTGAGGAAATTCGTCTGCTGGAACTGGAGCGCCAGCGTGAGGAGAAGCGCCTGCTCGAAGAGCGTCGCATGCTGGAGGCTGAACGCATTGCCCTGGAACAGCAAGAGCTGGAGCGCATGAATACTGAACGCTTGGAGGAATCGCAACGTCAGCAGGCCGAGCAGCAGGAGCTGCTGCAGCTGCAACTGAAGGCAGCAGCAGCCGAAGGCAGCTACAACCTACTGGCCAAGCCCCAGGCTGCTCAGCCCATTACTGCCGCTCAACCTGCTCAGCCACAGACAATAGCACAACAGCAACAGGTGCAGAATGGTTTCTTTCTGCGCATTCAGTCTGGACAGCCCAGCCAGATTAGTTCACCCAATCAGCCCAGCTCTGAAGCTTATATCCTGGCCGAGCATAATCCCTTCCTGGTGCGCTATGCGCAACAGCCCCAAGCCCAGCAGCTAGTGCAGACGATCAGCAGTGCCCCAGCAGCCCTGGTTAAGACGGCAGGCAGCGGCTCCAGCTCCAGCTCCAGCTCCAGCTCCACTTCCAGCTCCATCTCTACTAACATTCCAGCCAGCTCTAACTATGGCTCCATTTCGTCATCAGCTGCCTTCAAGAGCTCCACAGGTCTCAGCGAATGGGAGCAGGCGACACGCGATCATTTTAAGGCTCATGAGATTGCCTTGGAGCAGCTGCGTCTGGCCAATCTAAAGGATGCCAATCAGATACCTTGCACTCATTGAATACGATACTGAAGCACTCGCACACGCTCATATACCCACACACATATGCATCGACATCGACATCGACATCGACACGCTTTGATATTTGTTTTAGTTTTTTTGCACAATTCATCAAAATTCAATTCCAATTTGTATGCATTCAAGTTACTTAGGCTTAAAATACTCGCACTCATTCACATTCACATTCACATTCACATTCACATTCACATTCACATATACTCATATATTCGTACTCATACTCGTTCACCTGTAGCGTTAAGCGATCCACATATACTCGTAAGTTTTTTAATGCATTCAGTTGAGAAACAACGCAAAAATCAAAGTAAATTCACATTTGTATTTTGATTGGTGTTTTCTTATTTCTGTTTACTTATATATATTATATGTGTGTCGGGTCAATCGACTGCCTGACTGCACTGGACTCCACTTAATAGTTCAGCATATGCTGCAAATGGGTGAATGGGAGAAGGTTGAAGCTCAAGTTTCCATAAAGGTGTATGACGAAATCTCTGTTATAGGAAGTGTAATTAAATGCAGTTTAAAGTTAATTTAATTTCTATGCAATTTAAAAAATTATTTCTATGCAAAAAAGAAGTTCAAGTTCCTACCTAGATATACATATATATGCATGAACATGTGCGAGTTCAGGATTCACTGTGAAGTCGAAAGACAAACATATTTTAGCTACTCTCAAAAATCATGTCATGTCATTATGTTTAATCATGTCTTTAGGTAATCGTGGAAAGCAGGGTAGTTCAACCATATCTAGCCGTAACAAATTTCCAGTACTTTATTTCTCTTTCACTTATAAAATACTAAAACTGTTGTATCTTTCACTTCATGCGATCCAACATCTAGTGCATTAAAGCTTCGACAATTTCAGTTTAGTTTACAAATTTTGTGAATTGTTTCCTCTTATCATTTTTGGCCGCAGACAAAGGAAGTTGCCCCAATGAACAGTTATAGAACGTTCTGATGCAAATTTGGGTTTGGAATTGGTTTTGTCGCCAGCTTGGCGGAACGCACGAATCGCATTAAAAATGCGCATATGGTGGGGCCAACTTGAGGCGTAACTGGAGCAGCCAGCAGATGTATCTCATATGCAATTGAGATGGGAAAGATCCGTTAGATGCGCGGCACTTGCCGTACTGTGCGGGGCAGGTAAACTGAAGTCCGTGAGTTGCATAAATTTCGTATGCTTATGCGACAGCCACAGAGCCACACAGCAACAGTAGCAGAGACAGAGACAGAGACGGTGACAGCGACAGCGACACCTACAAATTCGTAGCAATTAGCATATAGACCAGACGAGCTGACAGCTTAGCTTAGCTATTAACTGACCTAGCGTAACAAGCAACGAAACGGTAAAAAATAACCGTTGGGCTATCACTTACTGTGCGATAGGCATCTGTGCGATTACGTGGCGTATGAGTAATAGGCGTATGAGTAATATGGGTAATTGCTAATTGTAGTCAGATGCCCCAATCAGTTAGCCATATATGGTCATAGATACATCTGACAAGAAGCTGCAGCCACTGATAACAATAAAAGCGAACAGCAAATCTTATCAGACTTTAGGAAATGCCCATTTCCTGTTCAGCTGATGAGACACCGACACGAGACACGAGAGCAAAGTACGCGACGAGCATGATTCACCCTTTGAAACACAAATTCACAATTTAAAGACAAGCGCGCATTGCTGCAACAATTAAGCAAACAGCTAATCAAATGGCTACTTAATCGCTAATTGCTAAACTCAATTGGCTGATGCAAGAGCGCACAGACTGAAATATTTCATGTTCTGTTGTCTGCTGTCTGCTGTGTGCCCTAAATTGGGCTTATGTCTGATAAGTTGGCCTTCGCACCATACTCCCAATGTATATATATACAAATTAACTCTGTTTAATGCGCAGTCACAATTCAGTTATAGTGTAATTATGTCTACAGCTCTATATACATATTTGATATCTGTCATTGATTTTGCTTTGAAATGGCATCGACATTAGAAAAAATTGATAAATTCAAAAAATAAAATAAATTAAAAAATATAATATAAATAAAGTTAAAAAACATATTAGTATCGATTGATCAAGCTGTACTTTTACAAATTTCATTCTGAAAACTAAGTTTTCATTGCCATCAGGACTTAGGAGTTTTTTCATACAGTTAAGTTCGTTGTCTCTCGGAAGCAAACAAAAAAGTAATAAAAAAATAAAAGGAATATTTTGAGGCTAAGAGTAGTAAAGCTAATAAGCTACTCTTAGCCTCAAAAATTGTTGTCTATTATCATTTATAAATACTCTCGTTATATAAATCACACAAAATATTCATTATAACTATCTTTGAGCTAATAGTAAGGCGAATTTCGATGCTCAAAAAACAATGCAATTTTAATTTTTAATAATAAACCCAATTGAGTTATTATTATAAAAGCCAAATCCCTCACAGTAATACCAATAGGTCTAGAATTACTAACCAGATTATTAACCAGATTGTGCCATAACGATAAAGTTGAACATTACATAGTGCAAAGTGAATTATGAATGCCTCTCAGTTAATCCTTAAATATATCCTGAGCGAAAGTGAAGTAGATATTTGTTACGAACTGCTTCCTCTTGTCAAATATCCAGGTGAGAAGCAGCATGTAATCGCCGCTAGGTAAAGGTACCACCAAGTCTTTGGGGTCCCAGAATAAATTCCTAATTAGTTGCGTGCCCTGAAAGAAAAGTTTGAGGCGATTTTTTGGTTACACTGAGAAAGCTAAAGCTCACCACATAAGGACACGTATGATTGAGCGTGCTGAAGTCTCTGAAAATATTGTACAATATTTTTATAACTGGATGATTGGGCTTGCGCAAAAAGCTGCAAAAGTCAACTGTGTAATTGCCCAACCAGGTCTTATAGCCATTTCCCCATTTTTTCATCTGGAAATTTATGTCCACTTTGTAGACGGCATAGTGAATATTTATATCCATATTGAGAACAATTTTATTTCGACTGATTGCACGAAGTCGACATTGATCGAATGTGACCCAAGTCGTATTTGTCGAGTTACAAATGACATTCGTCAGCTTAGCAGTGGCTGCCAACTTGTGGAATAGATATTAGCATTTGATGGCCAGATAGCTGGTCATGTAGATATTTACCTGAGCAGTCCGTATAAGAAACAGCCCCATAAATAGTAATCCAATTGTTAGCTCAAGAGCCCGACTCATTGTTCTGGCTTCCGAATTCCAATTGATGTTAATTACTGTACGAATAACTTGCAGCTTCAAATTATTGGCTGTCATTAAAAAGCGATTACAAATGATTTGGAATAAATATGAATCTCATGATTGGACATTATGTACTATTAAAAATTTATAATAAATATGTCTACTCTAATATTAAAATGTATGTTTCAAAAACATCCAATAAAGAAGCTGCAGGAAACTTTTTTCATATCAGAATCAATTCTCTTGGACAATAAATTTAAAAATATTGAGAACATATTGAAAGAACAGAGTGATAACTGTATGATTGACTTTTTACTGAAATATCAAATTATATAATATATATAATTATATAATATATATTATATAATTATATAATTGGCTAATTTGGGCTAATATTTTGCAATGTGCCAATTTGCCTTACTCAAAAATATTCTTTAATGTGATTTGATTTGTCGTCTAATAAAATTTTATGTTTTCCCAATACGCCTTCTAGGGGCTTAATAAGCCGACTAATACCACATACTTTAAATGTTATAATTATATAATTTCGTATAATTATATTTTTATTTACTTTTTGCAAAAGTGACCGATTTAAGCCACATTGAAATCAAATATTTAGGTGATTAGCCAGTTGATATCGTACATAGCAAATGTTTATATTTTTTTATTAACCACAACAATTGAAAAATTTACTGATTTTTTTTAGTGATGAATTTGTTCAGTGCTCTCATTAAAAACAAAACCATTATAATATAGTAGAAAAATATTTGTCCATTTTTCGGTATCTCCACTTTTCGATTTATCGATAAGCGTTTTAAATCTGACTTAACTTCAAAAATATAAAATCTTATATATGTGGTTACAAAATAAGTTCGTGTTTAACGATATAAAATGTGCCGGTCACAAGTAACAGGTAATCACCTTTTTAAACAAAAAAAAAAAGCTCATCACTAACCTAAAAGGACACGTATGGGGGAAGTTTGTAAAGGGTTTGATGATGTTAAATAATGTTTTCATCGTTGATTGAGTCTGCGTGGACGTAGAAAGCTTAGCTATTTCTGTTTGTTCATTGCGCCGATTGTCAGGTATAAAGGCAGCGATCTTATCATCCTAATTCCTTTTTAAGATAATCAAATTTGATTTTTGGCTCGATTTAAATGAATAGGCATGATATATTTCTCATGTTTGTTTGAAGCCTTGTGCTCTATGCAGAGTTGAGAGGTTCTTCTCTGAATTCCCGTTTCAACCCTAATTAGATCTTGTTGCGTTGTTAGGTGTAAATTAATGCTGGCTTATTTGCCATTTATTTGTGTTAAGAAAAATCAAATTTGTGTTTATTGGAAAATTTTTAAAATTGAAAATTGATTGCACGAATATAATATTTGGCTCCTTAGTCCGAAATGAGATCCTGTTTAAAGCTTAAGTAAACATTCGTAAACACACGTGTCTTGTTACTGGTTACCCAATTAAGAATTATCAAGTAGTCTCCAGTTGGCATAGGCAAAGTATAATTGGATACGTCCCAGAACATATCCTTAACATATATGTTGCCCTGCATTGGAAGTAGATATTGATAGATCAGAGATGAGTGACTAAACGTATTTGTTTCTCACTCACCACGAGGGGACACGTGTGGTTTAAGTTTGTGAAGGGCTTGAAGGCGTCATATAATATTTTGACGGCTGGGTGATTGGCTCTACGTAAAAAAGCACAGAAATCGATCTTATACTCAGCCAACCAGGGCTTGTAGCCATTTCCCCACACTTTCGTTTGCCAGTGGAGCTTCATATTATTAACTGGTACCAGTAAATTAAGTGCTATGTTTAAAACGGTTTTGCTGCGGCTGATCGCACGAAGTCGACACTGTTCGACCTTTACCAGGGTTTCGTTGTAAGATCCGCATTTAATATTTGTAAACTTTACTGTGGCTTTCATCTGGAAGACATAGATTTAAGATAGATTGCAAAACAGCCGATATCAGGCACTTAATTTAAAATTTCAATTACATCAACACTTTCGCTTAAGAGCACACACAAAAGTAAAACCGAAATTTTCCACTTCGCTGTCATTTCATCTACTTGTCCGACTTGACTAACCATTCTATAATCAGAGAAGCAATTTAAATAGAAAATATTTTCAATATTGTTTTTCGCAATAATCATTATTTTAATGGATCATTTCGCTAGACAGTTGCAGTTTTTTATTGTTAAGCTGGCTCGTTATATTTTTATTTACTTTTTGCAAAAGTGACCGATTTAAGCCACATTGAAATCAAATATTTAGGTGATTAGCCAGTTGATATCGTACATAGCAAATGTTTATATTTTTTTATTAACCACAACAATTGAAAAATTTACTGATTTTTTTTAGTGATGAATTTGTTCAGTGCTCTCATTAAAAACAAAACCATTATAATATAGTAGAAAAATATTTGTCCATTTTTCGGTATCTCCACTTTTCGATTTATCGATAAGCGTTTTAAATCTGACTTAACTTCAAAAATATAAAATCTTATATATGTGGTTACAAAATAAGTTCGTGTTTAACGATATAAAATGTGCCGGTCACAAGTAACAGGTAATCACCTTTTTAAACAAAAAAAAAAAGCTCATCACTAACCTAAAAGGACACGTATGGGGGAAGTTTGTAAAGGGTTTGATGATGTTAAATAATGTTTTCATCGTTGATTGAGTCTGCGTGGACGTAGAAAGCTTAGCTATTTCTGTTTGTTCATTGCGCCGATTGTCAGGTATAAAGGCAGCGATCTTATCATCCTAATTCCTTTTTAAGATAATCAAATTTGATTTTTGGCTCGATTTAAATGAATAGGCATGATATATTTCTCATGTTTGTTTGAAGCCTTGTGCTCTATGCAGAGTTGAGAGGTTCTTCTCTGAATTCCCGTTTCAACCCTAATTAGATCTTGTTGCGTTGTTAGGTGTAAATTAATGCTGGCTTATTTGCCATTTATTTGTGTTAAGAAAAATCAAATTTGTGTTTATTGGAAAATTTTTAAAATTGAAAATTGATTGCACGAATATAATATTTGGCTCCTTAGTCCGAAATGAGATCCTGTTTAAAGCTTAAGTAAACATTCGTAAACACACGTGTCTTGTTACTGGTTACCCAATTAAGAATTATCAAGTAGTCTCCAGTTGGCATAGGCAAAGTATAATTGGATACGTCCCAGAACATATCCTTAACATATATGTTGCCCTGCATTGGAAGTAGATATTGATAGATCAGAGATGAGTGACTAAACGTATTTGTTTCTCACTCACCACGAGGGGACACGTGTGGTTTAAGTTTGTGAAGGGCTTGAAGGCGTCATATAATATTTTGACGGCTGGGTGATTGGCTCTACGTAAAAAAGCACAGAAATCGATCTTATACTCAGCCAACCAGGGCTTGTAGCCATTTCCCCACACTTTCGTTTGCCAGTGGAGCTTCATATTATTAACTGGTACCAGTAAATTAAGTGCTATGTTTAAAACGGTTTTGCTGCGGCTGATCGCACGAAGTCGACACTGTTCGACCTTTACCAGGGTTTCGTTGTAAGATCCGCATTTAATATTTGTAAACTTTACTGTGGCTTTCATCTGGAAGACATAGATTTAAGATAGATTGCAAAACAGCCGATATCAGGCACTTAATTTAAAATTTCAATTACATCAACACTTTCGCTTAAGAGCACACACAAAAGTAAAACCGAAATTTTCCACTTCGCTGTCATTTCATCTACTTGTCCGACTTGACTAACCATTCTATAATCAGAGAAGCAATTTAAATAGAAAATATTTTCAATATTGTTTTTCGCAATAATCATTATTTTAATGGATCATTTCGCTAGACAGTTGCAGTTTTTTATTGTTAAGCTGGCTCGTTATCCAGTTAATGTATGTAAAATATATTTATCTTGTGGCCGCATCAATTACATTTTTAAAATATTTTTTGCTTTAAAAAATTTATTTTGCAAAACAAAATCAAGCTTCAATAGTATAATTATTATTTAATATATATATATATATATATATATATTTATTTATAAATATTATTATTATTATTATATAATGCTCATCTTCTATGTTGATTGTCAATAAACTTTTTAACAAAATAATTATAAAGCTTTCCATAAAACAAGGGTTAATTTGTGTTTAATACCAATACTTAACTAATTTCACCAGCTTATTAAATAATGTCCTTATATGGAGCTACCGTTCAGGTGGTTCCCCCCGTTTCGGTCGGATCTTAACTTTTGCGCACTTGACTTTTTGTTTTTCTTCGGAACTGCGCCGTCTGATAAGGTCTTTAAGGTATACACATATATTTATATATATATCTATGTCTAGTAAGATTATTGCTGATATAAAATTTTCCGCGATTTGTTATTGTTTATTGCGTTGTTGTTTATTGTTCTTGCTATTTATGCAGAACTTGTCCACATTTGTGTTTTGCCTTGAGCTAATTTTAGCACTGCACCAAAGCTATTTTCGTACCTCTTGAGTTTATTTTTGTACATTCCTTACATGTATTTGCCCATTTCTGAAAGAAATTTACTTTTGTCGTATGATGCATGCGATTGCTGTCACTCCAAACGGAGCTCGGGTTGCTAACCCCCTGTCTGAGTAAACTGCGGAGATAAGAGACCGCCAGTTAGCCGAGAGAATGTGGGTCTTTGTGGCGCCTTGAACATGCTTTTCCCACCGAACTTGACGCGTGAGACACTTTCAATAGTCCGCACCATATAACTGATAAGCTGATAAGATATTGCAACAGTAACGGGACAGTAATCGGGCCATGTCTAGCACTTCTCCGAATATTTGTATTTTGTTATGACATTTAATTGCAATCGGTTGTAAAATACTTAATCTTAATTAAAGCTGAATTGTTTGTAAAAATAGACCCAACGATGGGGGCAGCTGAAACTATTATTGGCATGGTTTTCCAGTTACTCAAATATTACTCACGATAATGGTCAAGTGTGTTGTTATTGAGGCTACATTGAAAAGAAAGATTTGTTGGTTTACTATTGCTTCTGTATTAATGTTGGTATTTTTGAAAATATTGTTCATATAAGTTATATTATTTCTATTATTTTTTATATTTATGATAATATTATTTTCACCTTAATTTTTTTGGTTGAGGTAAGTAAAAATGCTTTGTACTCCATCAGTCAGGTTATGCTTCTGACCGGTGGGTCGACTTACCGATTAAGAACCCTCTGCTCTCCAAGTGTTATCCGGCTTCAAGCTGGAGCTCTCCTATGTGATCTAGGTCTTTCGCTGTACTCCCGATTCATTCTTGTTATAAGCGTCTGTTCCACATTTGTTATTTTATAGTCAGGTCGGACCTATCTTCTGTGCACCTTTCGCAGTTAAATAGACAATGACTTCCATAGTAAATTCACCTTGATTTACAAGGGTCAACGGCTACATTGGCCATATTTGCAGCGATTATTTATTATTGATTGGGTAATGTTCCTGTACTAATATGGCCCATTTTGTGGTGAGCATAATATCTATAATTGTTGCCACGCCACAGAAATAGGTTTATTTATTTTGTTGTGCCAAATACATCAGCGAAAACGTGATCTGCTCGTTAGTCACATGTCGTTTATCACGTTTTCGATAAGCCAAATTAATGACAATCATTTCTGCTTTGGGTACAGTTGCTGCCAATATTCAAAAGCATAATATGCATATGAATGAATAAAGTTGCTAATGTGAATATATATATTATTTATTGCATGATATGCAATTTTTAAAGAAACAGAGGAGACAAAGATAGAGAGAGAAAGATTGGATGATTAGAAGCTGACCTTTAATCAGGTTCAAAGTAACTCGGCGCTTTATATATACATATATGAGTTAAGTGAATCACTTAGGCTGGAAACCCTACTATAGGCAGGCATTGATAATGTTAAAGACGATAAGTTAGACGCCACTTGCCTGAGGTAGCTGCGACGGCGCTGCAGAGCTATCAGCAGCAACAGTGCGTATGCTTGATATACATGTTTGAACGTAAAAGATTGGCAACACGCTTAAACATTATCTGTTGCTAGGGCTTTGAAGTGCTGTCAAATTATGTATGTATACATAAGTAAGTATATATATATATATATATATGTAAATACTTATATATTTATATATGTATATATATCAAATTTATTTACATTTGCATATATATAAAATTATATTAAGCAGTGAGCTGTAACAAAAGTTTTACGCCATTTCTGATCAGCTTAAAAATATTTATTATATATTATATATGAAAATACATTTTGCATATAAAAGAGTGCTTAATTGTAATAAAAACAATGAAATTATTATGTAAAAAGTTGTATAAATTGGCTAAAAACATGTTAACAACATTTTGATGGGCAGTTATACTAAATCGTGCTCAACTTAACTAGAATCAACACATAAATACCTTAATTTATTTTGACTAAGTTAATAAAAAAGCTCTTAGAAAAGGAATCATAAAAATGCCATTTATTCTTTATAGGCATCATGTGCCTTCCGCTCTTGGGAATCGAAGCTGAGTGTTGAAAGAAATTTGTATATCACATAAATAACCACAGTATATATTTCAATATCTTTATATATTTATATGTATATTTATGCTTTCTTCTATTTAGAATTTGTTACGTATGCTTGCAGACGTAGAGCTTTAAATCTGCTGATATGCGCATTTGACGTCATGAGTTCGTTTTCGTCATGAGTTCTCATGTGACGTGATATATGTATATGATACATATCTCATGCAGGTCTAGATTCTTTCGATTTGAAATTCAGAATATTTATAGACTTCAAATCGATTCGATTTGTGTGCTGTGCTTCCCCGATGCGATTCTTGGAATATGTGGGTGAAATCTTTGCTTTACTTAGTGATTTTTGTGGAATATCTTTATTGCAGGCCCATTAGCTCGTATATATTTTATACCCAATCAGCCCGCAGTGAGGTGTCAAGCCAAACATGTTGACAGTTTCCCGATGCGCTTCATTTAAGCATATCGGTATTGCTTCATTAAACAAGCGCTTAATGTGACATAAACGTTGAAATTTGGATTTTAAATACGGTCATTAAGTCGTATTAATACATTCCGTAATATCCAGCAGAGGTTCGGGGATGAGCCGAAATCTTTACTGCTCTTTGGGGGATAAGCAACAGCTAAATTTGACTTACGTGAGAAACTTTTATGACATTGACGCAAGTTGCGGTGGCTGGAAATTTCTTTCGTGGGGTGGCTTTGGGTGGCTCAACCTGCACTAACGGTAAACACGGTCACACGCTGCGTATGCGCAACGATTTGCGTAAGCAAACAGACAACAGCAACATGTGCACAATTCCTGCTATTGTTTTTCAAGAATTTTACAGCATGTCGTACGTTCAATAAAAAAAAAAAAAAAAACAAAACATTCAAACGGAACTTTTACAGTTGCACGTTGTTCGTTCGAAACGTGCTCCGACATGTCGCAAAAAACAGGTGGAAGCCCCACGCAGAGCCGGCGAGTTGAACAGCCCTTCCCACTCTCTATCTCGCAATGTCGCCCTCTCTCTCTCTCGCTCTCTCGCTTTCTCTCTCGCGCAGCTTTTTTCATAACTCTTATCAGCAAACAATTCAAAGTTTCTTTGCTGCCTGGCACGCGTTATACGAGCAAGTCGAAACGAGTTGAGTTGAGTGGAGATAACGATGCCATCGAAAATCAACTGTGAACGCTCCGTCGCAGTTCTTGTGAAATTCAACGCATTTATGTTAACTGATGCGGACTCTGCAAAAAGCGACCCTCAGAGGAGAAATCAATGGCAGGCCAATTAACTAAAAATAGTTGAGAGTGCAAGCGGCTTGACTGTGCTTAACTTGTAAATACCCTGTAAATGGAGTTTCCTACTAATATATTAAGTTAATAAATGAAAACTTTGGGTATTATGTTAAAATTTGAAAAATTACAAATTTATACTATTAAATATAAATATTATATATTTAAGATTGAATTTTTGTTGTTTTAAAACAAGTCAGACAACATTCAAAAAAGTATTTGAAGACCAATAATCCGGTCCTTGTCATACATATATCTAAACATGCCAATTTTAAAGTCTTTCAGTTAGTATATCAACCACATTAAGCAGTGTACAAACAAAATGAGGGTCTCAATTGAGTTCATTCATTAAGAGTGTTATACAACATACTCTTAGATAACAGCGTATCAAATTTCTATTAACTAGTTGCTATGCTGGCTGAGTTCACATAGTTAGAATACAGTAGTATAGGCAATACTTGAAAAAAAAGTCCCTCAATTGTTTAAGTATATGACAAATGAAACGAGACTTCATATAACTATCAGTAGCACAAATAGACTTTAAATGTCAATATACTCTAACTTATTAATGACAATAAATTACAGGGTATCAAATATTAAATAATATAGCACGATCCAGACAGCAGACAATAGGGTGTGATTATTTTATGTATACAGGCACACGCATTTCGCAACTGTAAACGTGGTGTTAATTCGGCTTTGTTTGGGACTTAGTTCATTTTTTGTGTTGGGTTTACTTAGGTGCTTAATTCAAACTATTTAATCTAGTGCATAGGTGCAATTGCGCTTCAATCATTAATCAAATATTGAATAAACTCGCACACACGAAGAGTCTCTAAAATATTCATATTTAGTTTAATCATTGGCAGTTGCTGCTTTTATCTTCATAGCGTTGTCTCTGTCTGAATGTTTCTGGCCTTCTTGCTCTAGACACAATTATTTCGATGCGCAGTTCATGGTTAAAACTTTTCCAACGGATTGCTAGGAATGTGCAAGATATCTAATACAAATACAAATACAAATAGACATTTGTTTCCAGGTCAGCTTGCCAGGGTGTTAAGATGTATTTCAATTGTTTACACAATGAATTTCAACAGAATTTGGAATTCCATTTATATAGAGCATACAAGCAATAAAACTAATTATGGTCAAACACTTTGTACATGTGGGAAATTTCATGCCTGACCTTGGATTCTTTTTAGAATAGTGCTACAGTCTCTCTTATCACTAAGTGCAAAGTCACAGTTACTAGGGCTTGCTTGAGCTTGATAAGGTTTTTTTCTGTCTGTCGAACTCGATCTTCCGACAACTGCATATATAACTACTCAATTGACGGTGTGCATTGTGAAATGTGTGTTTCGCTTATTGAAATTCTAGAGAAATTTGTTCTTATATTAAATGTATCTATAGTTGTTTACTTAGCACACGCCTCGCATATATTGTGTTCTGTAAATATTTAAAAATTTTCTCTGAACTTTTGTTTGTATATCTTGGCAGCTATATATTATGAGCTAAATATTTTACATGATTTGAGTTTTACAATGCCTGAATATGGTCATAAACTTGTTGTTTGTGTAATTTAAGTAACAGTGTAAGATTTCTTAAATTTATAAAGCTTATCAGCTGTTTTTTTTTTAAATGAGTGTGAAAGTGATGGTTGAGTGGGTTTATTCTTTTAATATATGTATGTGTTTAATATATATATATAGCTATGAATTAAGCTTATCACAGAAAGAAAGAAGCCCAGAGAGTGGTGAGAGAGAAACACGCGTGTAGCCTGAGATGCAGAGAGAGAATGAGAGTGTGAGAGAGAGAAAGATTGCAAAAGGAAGAGACACTGTGAAAGATCGTTTTTGTTATCCGAATTCATTTTTAATAAATAAATCATATCAATTCGTTCGATTCGTTCCACAATTGAAGCAATCACTAAAGAAGCGCGCTTATATATCACATCACAACGTAGTAGACTCATAAATATATTTTGCCCTAATCAATTTCGTTATACAGCTCCAAAGTGAGCCCCATAAAAAGTGAATGCACTTTCATAGCAAAAGCCATTGCAGGTTATACTATATTTTATACATATTTGTTTATGGGAATCTCCGTAGCTTATTTTTCTGCTCTAGGCAGTAAATTATGTAATGTTTGGCTGTGTGCTGTGTGTGAAAAAAAACCGGTTATAGGCAGTATTCCATTCATCGTATACCATATTTTTTCCGCTCGCGTGCCTCGTCTCGTGCCTATTGCGCAGCTTCGTGTCTGTGTAATCAATTGGCGACAGGGCGCAGTGGAAAGGTTCAGAGCGGGTTCAATCAAATACAATTAACTAAATATATAATCGTAAACAAATCACAAAAAATATGCGTGCTAGCCAGTTGCTATATATATGATAGATTGATACGATATACTAAATATTGGAAATTTTTGGAAGTTATCAGTTAGCTGTGGCACAAACAGATCAATTAATACCCGATAAACGTCAGATAATGAAAAGTCGAACCGCATATGTAAAAATAGGTTGTTTATTTATGTATCTGATATTCTTAAAAATAAATAAATAAATATCCGTTTTTAGTGAGATTTCTTGTTAAACTCAATGAGAAACGAACTGTAAATGTGTTAAGTTCATTTGGGCACTCGGTGAATCCCAGTGCTACAGAGTTGGCCTAATAAGCAAAACAAACGCCCTTATCTCGCTGAACAAAAGTAGAGTTTCCACAGAAATTCCCAGCGATAATTCACTTGCCATATAGTACATATAATCCATGTTTAAGTGAATATTGATAAGCTTTGCTCTCTTTTTATTACGGTCTTATATAGTATTTGTTTTTATGTGGAATATAGTAAACGAGAATAATATAATTCAAGTGAAGCGCATATATTTCTAAGTCAATTTAAATAATATTATTCAATTACAACTAAAAACATGTTTGCGCGCGTAAATGGAAATCCAAATCCGAATCAAAATCAAAATCAAAATAAACAATAACAATTATAGAAATATAAAAATAAAGTTTGAGCTGAAGTGAAATCAAGTTTATTTAGTGGCTTTAAGTTTGAGCCGTATTTGTTTCATAGTTCAGGTTTGCCTGCAGTGTAGCCAGGCATCTACCCCTCTCTCTAATTAGCAAGTTGAACAGTTGAAAAGTTGTCGCAAAAACTGGAAACGAAGTGCGTTCAGCTAGCTAACGGATAATTTTGACTTGAGAATATGCTAATTTGTTGTTAGTTGGGGCTTAGCATGAATCGATATGAAACATTGTGAATCGATGTGAATCATTACCTTCGACGACATCTCCATTGTCTCTTAGGCAGTTATCATTAGACTTCGTTCAGTTAACTTTTAAAGCTAACGGATTATTTTGGTTGAAAATATGCTAATTTTGTACTGTTTAGGGTCAAGAAGTAAGCATCGATACTAATCGGTATTGATCGATATATGTTGAGCTGCTATGAATCATTGCCTTCAACGACAACTCCATTGCCGCTCATCATCTTTTCCGCTTGATGAATTGTTCGCCTTGGCAAGTGCTCCCAACACTTGTTTTTTTTTTACTCAGTCACGCCTCATGTGAATTGTGAACTACCTGAGCAAACGTTGCATTCGCCATGCCCTCCTAATGGTATTCGGCCTAGGATTTCCCCACTCAAACAATATTTTGAGCTGCTCAATGAATGTTACTCATGACTTGGCAAAAACGCTAACTTAGAGTTTGCTTCAGCTGTGTTCTTTGGAATTAACGTAGCAGGTGTAAAGTACGCTGGCGATCTACCTGTTCGTGCACGTCTATATAGACTATGCAAACTGAAGTGGATGACCAGCTGATTAACGGGCAATACATACTACTGATCAACGAACTGCACTTGACTAACTGTAAGTCTTAATTATCGCCAATTAGCTAAGTTCTTGCTTAAAGCTTGTAAGTTATTAATTACTGAGTTAATGTTAAATTGCATACGAAATAGTGACAGATAGTTCAACAGGTGCAACGTTTAAGTGAAATAGAGCTTATATTATAATTGCAAATGTACATTAATTTTAAAAATGTTGTTGATTTTTTCAGTGTTTTTGGGTAATTTTTGAGTTAGATAATTAATTAATTAATATGTAGTTCTGTTAAGACAAGAAACATTGGATAATAGAGGTATATGAGAGAAAATTATATATATTTATTAACAATTATTAATAAATATCAAAATATGTAATGTCACTTAAATATATTTCAAAATGTTTTAAAAAAAATAAAAAAAAAGGAAAAATTAGAAAAATTATTTAATAAAATTTCTACTCACAAATAAAATGAATATAACTAAAGTTTTCATATATGTCCATAGTAGAACAAAATATAAAATGTGCAAACCATATTATGTAGTTCTACTATATACAAATATATTTACATATATATATAATTAAATCTGTACGATATTTGTTACTCAGTAACAATATTATTATTATTCCATTAAACATCTAGCTAGCAGTCTTTTAATTACTTTAATTAAATTACCATAAATTGTAGCAATTGTTAATAATTTAAGAGCTCAAGTTGTATAATCATTTATGATTATATATTAACAAATTAAAAGGCACTTAAGCTAATTTCTTTTGTTTTTTTCTCTCATTTTGTCTCGAGTTTCAGTTTATAGCTAACTGACCTATACAAGTTATACGTGGCTCTTAGCAACTCCATTAAAGATTATATGTTGAAAATGGTTGTTTTTGTTGTTTCTTTCTGTTTTTTGCCAAGCTCTGCAAACAAATTTTTCCATGTATAATAGCACGAAGTCGCGCTGTCTGGATCTCTGGCATTGATTATATTAACATGTCTCCGACTGAAACGTGCACGTAGAGCCCATATAAGGCGATCGCTTAATTGGCCACATTATAGCATTGATTCAGACTATATAAGTAGTATATATATTTATATATGTATATGTGTATGACTGGCATATGCATATGCTTGATAAGAGCGCGTCCATATTTGGTATTCGTATGGGGGAATACCGCTGATAAAGCTCTTTAAGGATTGATTGATATTCTGCTGCGATTTTCTCCAGACTTAAGGGATTTCTATAATTCTGACGTCAAGAATTTGTCATTCAAATTCCAATGGGCTGTAACATGAAAAAGCTGAAAATTTCAATAAAAAGATATTTGAGGTTTCATTTTTTATATTCTTTTATTTTCTTTTTTCAAAAAATTCTTTTTTTTAATTTTGCAACTTAAAATTAAATAACATTTTTTTGTTGGTTTTTTTTTGTAATTTTTTTTGTACAATTTATACGCCTTTTATTTGAAAAGCTAACATAACAAAACTTTAACTTTAACATACAAATTACAATATTATGTTTTAATTGAGTTTATTACAATTTATTGCGTAAATCTGTTCAATGCGAACGAAAATTTCGCCATTATCAATAATCTCTCTCAGAAAAAAAAACCAGCAGCTGGTCACGCGCTTAAGTGTGTGAGCATGTGTTGGTGTATTAGTGCCAGATCAAAGAGAGTGGGATATCGAGAGAGTGCTTGCACTTCCGCAGCAGCAGCTGTGTTGTTGTTGTTGTTGCTGATTGCTGGTTTTGCTGCTGCATTCTCGTCTGTTGTTGAACTGCTGCAACGAAGGTCGTTGTCGCCATCGTTTGCCTCTCTCTCTCTCTCTCGCTCTCTCTCTCTCTCTCTCTCTCTCTCTCTCTCTCTCTCTCTCTCTGACTCTCTAGCATAATATATAATTGTCCAACGTTTTGCAGTTACTTTAGCTTTCGCTGCTCCACCTCCTTCTCTTCATCCTCCTCCTCCTCCTTTTATATACACTTATACATATGCATATATATATGATGTATTATATGTAATTGGAATATGTCCCAACGTCGGTTTCCTCAGAACTCTCCAAACGTTCGGGTACATTAACCTTGTCTTAACTGGTTGTTTGTTTGATTTAAACCCATGTTTTGCCCTACTGTGACGGGCTGTTCAACTTGTAGCTTCTGCCATCTCTCCGTAAGTGCTTACACCGCGGGCAGCTGGACAATGGGATGTTGTGGGGCATCCCAATGTGCTTCACAGAAGTCGACCAGTTGATTTTCTGCCTTGTTCAGCTGCTCCTCGTTCTGTTCGCCTGCCCAGGTTTTTTGTATCAGGCAGCATGACTCGATGCTTTCCTGGCCCAGAATCCGGCTCAGCTTGGTGGCATCGTCCACTTTAATGACATAGATATCATTTTCATAGCAGAACGCCTCCAGCAGCACCTCGTGCATATGCGTGGCCGAATCGCCGTCCTTGGGCACGGCCATCAGGCAAAACAATGAACCCTCTGGTGATTTCGAAAGGGTATTGATCGCAGCCGAGAGGCCGACAATCACGCGAGCCTCCGATTGGGCACGCAGCAGAGCCGTTTTAACGGTACGTCCAATGGGCATGGCGCACTCGGTCAGCTCCAGGCTGTTGTTGTTGTGATAGTGATGCATGTTGGCTGATTCGTCAACGACCATATTGGATTTGTTAATCTCTTCTGATTTTGTCACTTGAGCTTGAGCTTGAGCTATTTTTGAAGCTTCTCTTTGCACTTTTTGTGTTTGCGTAACGCACACTTTTTCTTGACTTAGCACTGCTTTGTCTTTGTTTTTCTTGTTTTTGCTAATGTTATTTAGCTTTAGTCAATTTGATTAGCTTTTGATTGTTTCTTGTTTTTTGGTATGGCAATTTGTGCTATATTAACTTTTGCTTATGAAATTCTTTTCACGTTGACGTTGTCCGCTTTGAAATCCGTTCAACCGTATCGCTTGCTGCTTGTTTCAATTTTGATTTGCAATTTCACAATGAATGCCAAACGCTGGCGAGCGCGCGCTTTTATAGCTGTGCTCTCGCCGCGTACGAATTTCATAAGAGAGACAGAAGTTCAACATGTGCTGACGGTTGCTCTCTTGGTTGAGTAGAGCTTTTTTTCCAATTTTTTTTTCACGCAACACACAGCCGGCGTAAAACCCACACATAGCATAGTCGTGCGCGCTCGCGCTCACTCTCGTTCTCTCCGACAGTGTACGTGTGAGCGTATATGTGTGTGGGTGTGTGTGTGCTTTATTCCAAATAATTTTCGCTTGACACCTCCGTTCGCGCTCTAAATTTGAAGCTTCAGCAAGTTTTTTTGATGCCTTTTTGTTGTTGCAAAAATCAAGCTTGGATGCCGCAAAAGATTTCCGTTAATTTTTTGGGCAATTAGCAAAGTTTGTATCTTTCCTCTTCTGCGGCTTTTATTACGCACTGCAGCCGCTTACCTTGCCCTTTTAGCTTAAGCTAAGCTCAACCCAATGCCGCTCTTTGTGTGTGCGCTCTGAGCGCAGCTTAAGTGCATATCTAAATACGTGTATGTGTGCATGGGTGTGTGTGAGTGCATCTCAGTTGATTGTTCGCTTGAACTTTTACTCTCACCATATTGCCTTGATTTTAAGCAATCGCTTTTCGTTGAATTTGTTAATGACTTTTAAATTTCCCCAAAAATTCATATTGTCACACAGTTTTTTGTGGAAAATTCAGCTAGCTGCTCAGTTCTTGTCAATTTATAGCCTATTTAATGGCAATCATCAATTTGCGGCACTCGCTTTTCACGCGAACTCATGCTGATTGTTGGTCATGCATTTGGCTATGCGCCAAACTGGTCAACAGGTCGTGCCAAATGACTCAAAGGTAACATAGCAAAAATTATGCTTAAGTAGATTTTCATATATATATATATATATGTTGACTTATATGCAGAGCTGACGTCAAGTTGTGCCCTCGGCGCACATTGCGTATACTTGATGTCTGTGCGAAAGTGTTTTGCTGTCTCATTGTTTAATTAATGAGCGCGCGACAAACACATAAAATGGTGTTTGACATTGTTGTTGTTGCTGTGTATTTTTTTCGCCTGAAATTTTAGTGAATGAAAGCCAGTCCAGGGGGTAAATACGTGCACATTAAAAAAAAAACCAAAAAACTCACTCAAAAATATATATATTTATATATTTATATATATTGTTTGTGATGATGCATTTGTTAAATTTATATAGACGCCTATAGCTCAGTTTCAGGAACTACAATATAGTAAGCACAGCTCCCTCATCTGGCAATTGACATCAATTGAAGCCTTTCGGATTCGGAGTTCACTTACCGTTGGCGCTCACATGTTTTTGTTTCTTTTTTACACTTTTAAATTTTTTTGTTTTTGTATTCGATTTTGTTGTGCGAGCAACATTTTTATTTCTGCTGAGCTTTGTTTTTTCTTTTTATGTGCAGAGTAATAATATATTTTTAATTAGGCTGACCTGACCAAAGGCACGTACTTACAAATCTGAAAGACAATATTAAATATGTAAAAACATACGAAATTCCATTGCTTTAGTAAAGGTTGAATGTACGACACTTTGCAAGGGTTTCCCGAAAGACAGCAAAGAATTTAACTCTAACTGCCTAGCAAGCATAACTGTACCAGCTGCTTTAAGCAATTCCCTAAAAACAACGCAAAGTTAAGTTTAATGAACTTCTTGGAAAAAAACAAAATTTGTAATTTGATGTGCAATATTTGTTGAACTCAATGAACTGACCGCAAAAAAAATGAGAAAATATAGAGAAAAGAGTTTAGTTGGCATTTTTAGGGCAATCACCCGATATATCTTCGATACGTAAAGATCTGCTCAAATCACTGACCTATCTGAAATCTAAATATAAATATTGTTAACTTGCTGCGCATAAACAATTCAAAACACGGCTTGCAAATTTTCGCCTAGCCAAGCTAAAAAATACAATTGAAGCGTAAAATACAAGAACAACAAAAAAGAAATGAAAAAAGAGAAAATGGAATACTATATTTACTTATTCTATATCAGGCCACAAAATTTGCGCGCCAATTTTTTACTTATTCTGATGGGCAATGAACTGCGGCCACGCCTCATTGTTGTTGCCGGAAAAATGCACTAAAATAACAATTACAGTGAAATCTACTTTAAAGTACAGCAAAGTGAAGCGAACAACTGCCGCAGAAGCTTGCCTTCAAATTTTAAAAATATATTTCTCGTTATATTTTTGGGGCAAAAACTTTGTTGTTACGGCCGGGTGATCCCTTGCTAAAATTATTAAAAGCACATTCTTTTTTATAATTTAATAAAATATAATTTTTATGTATTTCATGAAGGCTTACAAATAAAAAGCAAACAAAGAAACAAACGATATTTGTTCTCATAGATATAGATGACAATATGATACACATTTTTACAATGTATTTTTATTGGCAACATAAACACAAATATGGAGAGAGTATTAGTTCAGGAATATTAATCCATAGACAACATTCAGGTAAAATCTACTGATAAATGCCCAATAAATATTTATAAGAAAAACATATATCAGATATCACTGTAGTTGAGTTTCAGCTACATGCGAACGTCGCATGATGCACAATGGGAAATAGGTCGGGGTTTCGTATAGCTGCTACCTATTCGGCTTGGCTTATTGGCTGCTACATGCCACACAGAAACAAGTGGCCGCCGCATGGCTGATGATGGAATTCTCGCTTTTGCGCTGAGTCATGCCGCTCAACTAAAAATATGTTCGACATGACTCAAAAAGCCAAATCTTGTCACTCAGCGATGGACTGGCCGGTGCATGGCCACGGCAAAACAGGTTTACTCGAATTCCCTTTAAAAAACACACACACATACACAGACGTGCTCAATGTACGCATTTTTATGGATCCATACCGATATGGAAGGTGAGTCTAAAGTTCGATTGCAATACCTGACGCGCTTTGCGTTTGCTTCGACTGAGTCGCGTTTCCACTCACGTGCGCTGCTTTAAGACCAGTTAAGAGAGCCACTGAGAGAGCTTAAGGCATGGTCAATTTCAAGCTGCAATTATGTATAAGCAAGATATGTGATTAGGGGGAATTTCTTGATATTGGGTAAGCCCCAGCAGAATGCGGTTGAATGCCTTATGAAAAGCCCCAATGCCGGAGACTATTCTATCTACGCACAGATTTTGTACGTTGCATGCACAAAAAAAGAAGAAACTGATTTCGATATGCATATGCGAAAAGTTCCCCCAAATGATTTAAGTGCATGCTTGTTGCGTGGTTTTTTCTTTATCGTATAAATAACTATAAATAAATTTTTCTGGTTTGTAATCCCCAAAACAGATGTAGCTTAGTTTATGATAACTTAATTTCAAAATTAATGAAAATGTTTTATTTTAAAAAACTATTTAAATGAAAAATTCTTATTTATAATATTTTATATGAAAATTAAATTTTTAAAATATACTTAAAAAATAATATTTTTAAAATTTTAAGCAAATTAAATCAGTTTTTTCGCATTTTAATGCACAAATTTATTTCGATTGTAAAAGTCTAACATATCAGCTGTGTTTCGTTGTAAAATTTCAAAATCTATTTTCTTTTCCGATTATTTTGCAGTAATTTAATTAGTAGAAAGATTAAATGCTTTCTATTGAAAATTCCCCTCAACTAAATTTCCCCAATATTAAATTTGAATAGCCAATCCAACGGATTTGTTGTACTTCAAGCAAGTTGGCAGCACTTTGCGCTCACAAAAGCTCAAGTCAAATGTAAAGCTTTTGCTTAGACGTTTGTTTTGCCGGCAAAAGGCAAAAGAACAAAGCTCTGCTGCTTCTTTCGCGTAAACAAACGCTGCTAACAGCTGCTCTGAGCGCAGCTTAAGTGCATATCTAAATACGTGTATGTGTGCATGGGTGTGTGTGAGTGCATCTCAGTTGATTGTTCGCTTGAACTTTTACTCTCACCATATTGCCTTGATTTTAAGCAATCGCTTTTCGTTGAATTTGTTAATGACTTTTAAATTTCCCCAAAAATTCATATTGTCACACAGTTTTTTGTGGAAAATTCAGCTAGCTGCTCAGTTCTTGTCAATTTATAGCCTATTTAATGGCAATCATCAATTTGCGGCACTCGCTTTTCACGCGAACTCATGCTGATTGTTGGTCATGCATTTGGCTATGCGCCAAACTGGTCAACAGGTCGTGCCAAATGACTCAAAGGTAACATAGCAAAAATTATGCTTAAGTAGATTTTCATATATATATATATATATGTTGACTTATATGCAGAGCTGACGTCAAGTTGTGCCCTCGGCGCACATTGCGTATACTTGATGTCTGTGCGAAAGTGTTTTGCTGTCTCATTGTTTAATTAATGAGCGCGCGACAAACACATAAAATGGTGTTTGACATTGTTGTTGTTGCTGTGTATTTTTTTCGCCTGAAATTTTAGTGAATGAAAGCCAGTCCAGGGGGTAAATACGTGCACATTAAAAAAAAAACCAAAAAACTCACTCAAAAATATATATATTTATATATTTATATATATTGTTTGTGATGATGCATTTGTTAAATTTATATAGACGCCTATAGCTCAGTTTCAGGAACTACAATATAGTAAGCACAGCTCCCTCATCTGGCAATTGACATCAATTGAAGCCTTTCGGATTCGGAGTTCACTTACCGTTGGCGCTCACATGTTTTTGTTTCTTTTTTACACTTTTAAATTTTTTTGTTTTTGTATTCGATTTTGTTGTGCGAGCAACATTTTTATTTCTGCTGAGCTTTGTTTTTTCTTTTTATGTGCAGAGTAATAATATATTTTTAATTAGGCTGACCTGACCAAAGGCACGTACTTACAAATCTGAAAGACAATATTAAATATGTAAAAACATACGAAATTCCATTGCTTTAGTAAAGGTTGAATGTACGACACTTTGCAAGGGTTTCCCGAAAGACAGCAAAGAATTTAACTCTAACTGCCTAGCAAGCATAACTGTACCAGCTGCTTTAAGCAATTCCCTAAAAACAACGCAAAGTTAAGTTTAATGAACTTCTTGGAAAAAAACAAAATTTGTAATTTGATGTGCAATATTTGTTGAACTCAATGAACTGACCGCAAAAAAAATGAGAAAATATAGAGAAAAGAGTTTAGTTGGCATTTTTAGGGCAATCACCCGATATATCTTCGATACGTAAAGATCTGCTCAAATCACTGACCTATCTGAAATCTAAATATAAATATTGTTAACTTGCTGCGCATAAACAATTCAAAACACGGCTTGCAAATTTTCGCCTAGCCAAGCTAAAAAATACAATTGAAGCGTAAAATACAAGAACAACAAAAAAGAAATGAAAAAAGAGAAAATGGAATACTATATTTACTTATTCTATATCAGGCCACAAAATTTGCGCGCCAATTTTTTACTTATTCTGATGGGCAATGAACTGCGGCCACGCCTCATTGTTGTTGCCGGAAAAATGCACTAAAATAACAATTACAGTGAAATCTACTTTAAAGTACAGCAAAGTGAAGCGAACAACTGCCGCAGAAGCTTGCCTTCAAATTTTAAAAATATATTTCTCGTTATATTTTTGGGGCAAAAACTTTGTTGTTACGGCCGGGTGATCCCTTGCTAAAATTATTAAAAGCACATTCTTTTTTATAATTTAATAAAATATAATTTTTATGTATTTCATGAAGGCTTACAAATAAAAAGCAAACAAAGAAACAAACGATATTTGTTCTCATAGATATAGATGACAATATGATACACATTTTTACAATGTATTTTTATTGGCAACATAAACACAAATATGGAGAGAGTATTAGTTCAGGAATATTAATCCATAGACAACATTCAGGTAAAATCTACTGATAAATGCCCAATAAATATTTATAAGAAAAACATATATCAGATATCACTGTAGTTGAGTTTCAGCTACATGCGAACGTCGCATGATGCACAATGGGAAATAGGTCGGGGTTTCGTATAGCTGCTACCTATTCGGCTTGGCTTATTGGCTGCTACATGCCACACAGAAACAAGTGGCCGCCGCATGGCTGATGATGGAATTCTCGCTTTTGCGCTGAGTCATGCCGCTCAACTAAAAATATGTTCGACATGACTCAAAAAGCCAAATCTTGTCACTCAGCGATGGACTGGCCGGTGCATGGCCACGGCAAAACAGGTTTACTCGAATTCCCTTTAAAAAACACACACACATACACAGACGTGCTCAATGTACGCATTTTTATGGATCCATACCGATATGGAAGGTGAGTCTAAAGTTCGATTGCAATACCTGACGCGCTTTGCGTTTGCTTCGACTGAGTCGCGTTTCCACTCACGTGCGCTGCTTTAAGACCAGTTAAGAGAGCCACTGAGAGAGCTTAAGGCATGGTCAATTTCAAGCTGCAATTATGTATAAGCAAGATATGTGATTAGGGGGAATTTCTTGATATTGGGTAAGCCCCAGCAGAATGCGGTTGAATGCCTTATGAAAAGCCCCAATGCCGGAGACTATTCTATCTACGCACAGATTTTGTACGTTGCATGCACAAAAAAAGAAGAAACTGATTTCGATATGCATATGCGAAAAGTTCCCCCAAATGATTTAAGTGCATGCTTGTTGCGTGGTTTTTTCTTTATCGTATAAATAACTATAAATAAATTTTTCTGGTTTGTAATCCCCAAAACAGATGTAGCTTAGTTTATGATAACTTAATTTCAAAATTAATGAAAATGTTTTATTTTAAAAAACTATTTAAATGAAAAATTCTTATTTATAATATTTTATATGAAAATTAAATTTTTAAAATATACTTAAAAAATAATATTTTTAAAATTTTAAGCAAATTAAATCAGTTTTTTCGCATTTTAATGCACAAATTTATTTCGATTGTAAAAGTCTAACATATCAGCTGTGTTTCGTTGTAAAATTTCAAAATCTATTTTCTTTTCCGATTATTTTGCAGTAATTTAATTAGTAGAAAGATTAAATGCTTTCTATTGAAAATTCCCCTCAACTAAATTTCCCCAATATTAAATTTGAATAGCCAATCCAACGGATTTGTTGTACTTCAAGCAAGTTGGCAGCACTTTGCGCTCACAAAAGCTCAAGTCAAATGTAAAGCTTTTGCTTAGACGTTTGTTTTGCCGGCAAAAGGCAAAAGAACAAAGCTCTGCTGCTTCTTTCGCGTAAACAAACGCTGCTAACAGCTGACTATATGCCCAATCAGTGTTGAGTAAGAGCCGAAGTCAAGACAGTTTTTTTCACATTGCGGAATTGCTTTTTCTAATGTTAACAATTATATTTGTAATAGAGCAATTTAACGCAAATTTGATATTTGAATTTGAACTTTAGAAGGCGACACAGGGTGACTCAATAGAACAAAAAACACCTTGTCTGATGCGAAAAAAAGCTTTGTGATGTAACCGGAGGCCGCACACAGAACGAAAAGAAGTCGAGGAAAAAACAACCAAAAATCTAAAAATATGACAGGCAACAACAACAACAAAAAGAACAACACCAAAGCCGAAACAATAAACGAAGTTTCAGACCGTTTCTTTGTGAGAGCTTCAAACTAATTGTTCATGGGAATGGAAATATGTATACATATATATAATTGGTACATATAAATACTCAAAGCGAAACCGGCTCGAGCATTCAGTTTGTCGCTGGCTGACGGAAGTGACGGAACCGCTGGAGCAGCGAAATTTTTCAAATAGAGCGCGGCCTTCAGACATTGGAAAGGGGAAATTTTGTTGAATCGATTTTGAATACAATGGAGTACTTGCAATACGCCTATGAGAAAATCTTTGGAGCCGATGATCCGTTAGATGCCACGCAAATTAATTATGATACGTGAGTGTTTTGGCCCCACTGTGCGTGGGGGTTTTTCCCATTTCAAATTTACTAAGTGCAGCTTCGCTCAATCTGTTTGACAGACCCCGCAAAGTCGTTTGCTTTGGCAATGTTCTGCTGGATCGCACTGTGAAGCTGGAGGCGCCGGAGCTGCTGCAACGCTATGAGCTGAAGCTGGGCTCCAAGGGTGAAATGGATCTGGAGCGGTTGAACAATATTGTCGTAGAGGCAGCTAATGGGTAACTTATTCTCAAACAGTTGCTAATTGACATAAATATATATATGAATATTAATATATTTCTATATATTTCATAGCTCCAGCTACTTAAATAACCCAGGTGGGTCTGCTTTGAATACGGTGCGTATTCTTAAGCACCTCGGCACAGACGCCCAGTTCTTCGGCTCGATTGGTAATGACAAACATGGAGAGGAGTTGCGCTCTTTGCTGCTGGAGCGTGGCATTGAGGCTCGACTGCAGGTAGTCGACGATGTACATACGGGCCAGTGTGTGTGTCTCATGTACAACGACAGTCCCACGCTCTATGCAAACATCGGGGCATCCGCCCACTTCTCTGTTCAAGAGCTGAAGCGAGCTGCTATGCATGACACACAAAGCTTTCTGCGTCCCATTGAACGAAAGCAAATTCTTTATGTGGAGGGCTTCTTTGTGCCTCACCGTAGCGAAGTCTGTGATTATATACTGGTGCACTTGGTGCGGGAACGTCGTCATCTGGCATTGAATCTCAGTGCTCCTTATATAGTGCGTGAGCACTCGGAACAGATGCAGCAGCTGGCGAATCGTGCGATGTTTATATTCGGCAATCGGCAGGAGTTTGAAGAGCTCGCCAAGGTAGCTGGCTGTGAGACAGTGGAAAATCTGGCACGCCAGCTGTTGCAGCTGGGCCAGCCCAAGATTTTGCTAATCACAAATGGCGACGCAGGTGTGCAGCTGGCCACTAACTACGTGGCAGAGCGTGCACCTCCCGGCGAGCTGCGATTCGAGGATTTCAGAGCACAACGCGCCGAGCAGCTGGTGGATGCCACTGGAGCTGGAGATTCATTTGCTGCCGGCTTCCTGCACGCATGGCTCGAGAAACGCTCGCTCACTGAGTGCGTCCGTTTGGCTAGTAACGTCGCTTCCAAGGTCGTTACTCAGGTGGGCTGCAACCTGCCTTAGCTGCCATCGGGTGCCCCTTTCACTCTATGGTATGCAAAGAGAAACTCAGCGACACCAAAGTATGCCTTAATTGCACGAATATTATGTAATATATAAATGTATATACTTAGTTCCTTATGATGCGACAATGCACTCAGTGAGTAATATTTTTGCGCTCGGATTGTAGCAATTTTGCAAATCAAAAACAACAATAAATATTACCATAAAATAAGATGGCAATTACACATTTTTTCTTAATGAGTAATTACAAATAACGAATAATTTTTAATAAACATCATATGGCCATGTGTAAGGCTAGTCATAAATAGTCTAAAAAAATACAAATTTAATCATAAATCGTTCTGGAACGATATATATAAATATTGTATAATAATATTATAAATATTATATATATATATATATTTATATATATATATATATCTATATATATATAGATATATATATATATATATATATATATATATATATATATATATATATATATATATATATATATATATATATATATAAATATATTCATATATATTATTATGCATTTTTTTGTTAAAATGAAATTTGTTATCTTATCTGAGAAAGTCAACTTTCACAAATTAGTCTACTTAGGCACTTAAGGTAATTAATTTATTACAGCACAGCTATAAAAAAAACCAAGTTTAGTGAGTTACAGATTAACTATATATAACCCATATATAAATAGTCTGTATACATCATATGTACTTAGACTCTCGCAGCTTGAAGCTGCTCAGCTTGCTAGAAGTTGTAATCGTTTTACTTTAATTGAAACCACATTTTACATAAAATATATTTTTATTAATTACTATAATAAAAATATAAAATTTTTTCATAAAATATATATTTTTATTTCTTATTTATATATAATTTTAAATAAATACTTGTTGGATTTATCAATTTTTTTTCTATTTAATACAACAATTAATTAATATATATATATATTTCAAATAAAACACTTCAATATCTGTGATAAGACAAAGTTGCTTTAAATAATTAGTTATATTTTATTTTTCGTATCTAAAATAGCCTTTGACAAAAACGTAAAGAATTTTTAATTTATTTTAACTGTAGTTATTTTTTATTTCTTATTTGCTTATAAAGTTTATATTCTTTAAAACTGATTCAGGCATTTCTCAGGGTTTAGCAATATTCAGACCTTACCGTAATCCCAATTAGAAAGCCAATTGCAGCTTTGCTTATTCCTACAAGAGTAATGTATATACATTTCGTTGTATTGGTTTATTTTGTGTAAACAATCACATCGCATTATCTTATGCTGACTTACTCATGGGCGGCCCACATCCATAAGCCGGAGCGGGATATGACGGCATAGCTCCAAATCTAGCATGTCTAGATATCATCAAAGCGAATGTTTCATTGTTGTTTATCTGCGAATGGGGGGATTGCTCGCAATCGCCATTAGAATTGGAATAGAAGGCAACTCGTGAGCAGGCATTGGGACTGTGGCTGCGAGTCACACGTGTTTGCAAATCGTTAACAAAACTAAGCCGTATTAGCCACGCTGCTTGACTCTCTCATGCTAAAAGGGGGACACAAACAGAGAGCATCTTGGCCAATAGCAGCTGATGCAAAGTCAAGTGAGAGCTAGTGATGTACTTTAAAAAGGTTATAAACACGGAGTATATATAGATATATATGGATATATATGAGGGCTAATTTTAATCTTTTATCTGTTCGGCTTCGGTAGTCATTTGGCTGCATGAATTTATGTTATATGAACACAAAAGAATATATATATATATATAAACTGAGAGGTAAGCATGCATTTTTAATTAGATATGAAAGTGAAATAAATATGTAGTTATAATTTTTTTGTAGATAATATGGTACGAGCCAGAGATGAGTCTAACGTATGGCTGTGAAAAAATATATAATTATATTTATAAAGTTGATGTCAACGCTGATCATCTGTAAATGAACAAAATACACATTTGTATAACATTTTAAAAATATATAGAAATATATAAAATAAGTGAATATTTTATTTAAATATTTATTAGGCTTACAAATTGAAAAAAAATTCTTATTAGAATACGAGAAATTCTACTCACGACAGCTCACGACATGTGTCCATCTCTAACTTTGCGACTTACGCCTAACAATAAACAAATGCCAAATTAGAAGCTTAGCAAAACAATTTCAGTTTTCAAGGCGATTCTCTCATTACCTCTCTCTTTCTTACAGCCCCGACTCTCTTTCACAATCTACTCTTTCTATTTCTTTTGCTCTTTCTCTCAAGCAAAAATAAGCTACTGTGAGCTGCTTAATTGGCAAAAAGCTGCTTAGCAATCGCCCACTAGAAATGTGTTAGAGTCAATATAGACACGCCCACACAATTGTGGGCGTCTATCGAAAGAGGCGGCAGTGACACCAGCAGCTGAGTTGCTTAAGTGTAGCAGACGAGTCGTTTAAATCACAACTGAAAATGCTGTTAATTGCTTGATATTAATTTTATACAAGTTCAGCTGGAAATCGGAGCTCTGAACAGCAGCCAACTAAGAGTATACGTAATTAATGTCAGCCTGTGGTTTATAGGGTTAACAGGACAAGGACTTAGCATGCATGTGTGTGTTGTCCTTTGATGTGTGTGCCCCATTGTGCTGGAGTAGCTGCTGCTGCTGCACAAAATGTGATAATTAAATGCCGTCCATTTGCCTGAGCTTAGCTTTTAATTTATAATAAATTTGGCTGCTGTTTCAGAATGCATTTTTCGACCAGATACTTACGTCCTTTGGTTGTCCTTTGATTTATGTGCAGCGCCTCGCATGAGCAGCTGTAACTGACATTGCATATTTGCTGGCAACGGAGAGGGCTAGCTGCGGTCTGGCCTGGTCTTTGGTACTGTTTGCACAAAATATTGCGCATACGCCACAGACGCCCGCATTCACGCACACACACACACACGCACAAGGACTTTTTGGGCTTGAGCTTTTGGCTTTGTCCTTTGCCTTTTTGCGGCATAACGCGCGGTTAAGTGGCCATAATGTGTGCCTTTATGGGCTTGGTCTACCCCAAGGTCCTGCTCCTGTTCCTGCTCCTTTGCACAGGTCTTATTTTAATTCCCCGCCGTATTTGCTGAGCTGGCATTGTTGCTGAATTATGTTATGCCAGTCGCTTGTTGATTTTTATATTGTTTTTTTTTGTCTCGCTCTCTCTCTCTGTTTGCTTTTGTCTCTGGCCGCTGTCCACATGGTAAGCGGGCGAGCCTGGTCCAAATATTTGGCTCTGGCATGTTTGCTCAGTTGTTTACGGATAATCCGCTTTTATTGTTTAATAAGTCATGTCTGCCTATCGCCGGTCTGCGGCACGGCCTGGCCCACTGCCTGATTGCTGCTGGCCACGTTATCGCCTCGTTAGCTTTTTGAAAGGATATTCTGCCCAACAGCAGGTCCCGGCACATTTTTGTGCTGTTGATGTCTTGCGTACGTGTGGAAAATCGATGCTTAAATTAAATAGGGATTTGCATATACAAAACAGAATTTCAATTTAATCCTTAATCATTTTGATATCTGTTGATATTCAGAAGAATTTTTATATTCAAGTGAAAATTTAAGTGCAATCATAATGTAAATTTCCTATGAGCTGCGAAGAACAATATTCTTGTTATAGCCAGAGTTCCATTTGCAACGTTGAACTGTCCTTGAATCTCAAGGTTCTTTCTTCCTTTACCGAAGTGCATTTTATATTAGCTTCAAAACTATTATAAAATATTACATAATACATGCCTATTACTGAGTGTTCGGCTGCCGAATACACTTGCAATTATATATTCACAGATCTGCTAGCTGCAATTACATTACCAATCGAATAGCTAACTGTCGCAAAATGGAAATTTAGCCCCTACTTTGGCACTTACATTGCATTGCATTGTCGCGAAGCCAATTTGGCAAATTATAGGCTAAGGGCAACGCCTGCCGTTGCCAAAGGACAATTGGTTAGACGCCTTGCGAGTGCGACAATAAAAGACATTTGCCAAGCACTCTGGGGCCACAGTAACGAGTGGTGCTCCAAGCCGGAAGTTGTGCAAAGTGGTGTGGTAATGGCCGAGGATATTGCTTTGGTGGCCATCAATGTGGGCATTTGGCGGCGTCTGGCGGTGCTCTATCCCGATCCGGCGACCAATTGGCGGAAGTATGCGTTTGTGTTGCCCGTTTGCCTGATGAATCTGATGCAGTTCATCTTTTTGCTGCGCATGTGGGGCGATCTGCCTGCCTTCATACTCAATCTCTTCTTCTTTTCGGCCATTTTCAATGCGCTGATGCGCACGGTGCTGGTCATGTGCAAGCACTTGGCATTCGAGAAGTTTTTAGACCAATTGACGCATCTCTATCGCCAGATCGAGGCATCCAGCGACGAGCACAGTCGAAATTTGTTGGCCCTGGCTGTGGCCGAATCTCGTCGCCTGGCCATATTCAATTTGACGGCCTCGTTTCTGGACATTCTGGGCGCACTAATCTTTGCTTTGTTTCTGGAGCAACGCAGTAAGCGGATAATGTTTGATAGGCTTTCCAGCTTTACAGTAATGAATACCCCCCACCTGGCGCACAGCCCATCCCTTTGGCATTGCCTTGCCGGGCGTGGATATGCAACGCACACCCTTCTACCAGATATTCTATGTGCTGCAGGTGCCCACACCCGTGGTGCTCTCTACGATGTATATGCCTTTTGTCAGTCTATTTGCGGCCTTTGCGCTCTTTGGCAAGGCTTTGCTGCAGATATTGGCCCACAAGTTGTCACGCATCGGCCAGCTGCCGGAGGAGGAGCAACGTTATCAAATGTTGATTGCTTGCATACGATTGCATATTACCATTGCCAGGTGCGTACTAAGCCTGCTAGGTATCAAGTGAGGTGCATTACACACTGAGCCCATTGAAAATGCGAAAATAGTAAAGCTCATACTTCAAAGTTATTATGTACTGTACATACTGCAAACTTATTAGTATGTCCGCTTATATATAGAAAATGCGTTGAGTTATTGGAATAACAGTCTTCACTGTGTTCCGTGTAGTTACCAGTCGGATACTCCTGATTAAAGCATCTTTTAAGGTAATGCAAGAGTAAAGAATTGCAGCTGTCTACGAATTTGTCAGTTTTCGACTAGTAGATATACTGCTTTAACTTTGACTCTCTAAATATTGTGTTCACCCTAAATAATTTCCATTTTTCTTTCATAATATTTCTTTAATATATATTCAAAAATCTTCTCTCTAAGCTTCATTGTAGCAAACACTATAGTTTTTTAATATCATATACACATTCTGAACTCATATCTATGATACAAAATATATTTGTTAAATAATAATTTCAGTAATAGCTATAGCATATAATGAAATATATATTTTAAAAATAAACAATTATATGCAGAGTAAGTTTATGAGTGTATCCAATATTATTTATAATAATATAAATATAAATTACATAGCTGCTGCTTATTGTGGTTATAAATATATATATAACTACAATTTGCAATATATATTTATATTTATATATTTTAATATATAAATAATAATATTCGGTTGAGTACTGTAGCTCTTAAGTATAGTATATTAACTGTGACTTCATAAACTAGCAGTTGCTGTTACCACAATAAGTGAAAGCTACAAATTATAACATCTTTCTAACCACATTTACAGCTATGTGCGCAATTTTACAACACTGGTCACCTACATAATTGGCGCCGAGGCTCTAATCTTTGGCGGCATTATCTCGTCGCTGCTTTTCTGCTTGAATATAGTTGAGTCTGTTTAAGATGAACTATTTCAGTTTATTATATAGCATAAATATTTTTATAGATCACCTCGGTAACGCAGATGATCTCAATAGTGATGTACATCTTAACCATGCTCTATGTGCTCTACACCTATTACAATCGTGCCAACGAGTTGGTTATTGAGGTGAGTAGAGCAGCTATTGCTGCTGCATTCTACTAACGACTTCTTTCTTTTGCAGAGCGCGCACGTCTCGCAGGCTGTTTACAATGTGCCCTGGCTGGAGTGCGGCATGCGTTTTCGGAAAACCCTTCTGATCTTTTTAATGCAAACGCAAAGGCCTTTGGTGGTGAGCGTCTCTCGTTTCATTTGGCAGATTCTAATCGTGGCTTTTATGCATGCGCTCCATTTCATTTCGAGTCTGGTTTTCCCTTTCAGATAAAGGCGGGCAACGTTTACCCCATGACTTTGGCCATGTTTCAGAGCTTGCTGAATGCATCCTATTCGTATTTTACCATGTTGCGTGGCGTGACCAACAAATGAGCTGGAAGCCAAAAACTTTTCGGGCCCTAAGCTCGGGAGGAGGACAGCTGCAAAGGGGGTGGGTGTGGGGTGCGTGGCAATCTGAGTAATGCAAAAAGTTGCTGTAGCTCGTTGTAGTCCGGGCATTTGCATATGCTACTCGTTTGCGTAGTTATTTTGAAAGGATTTAATCTGACTGTTTGTAGTCCGGACTACGGACGGTAGTGTTGGCGTGTAGATATAGTCGTAGTCATAGCATTTGTTGTTGTCGTAGCAGTCGCTGTTGCTATAGCCAGGCATCTGTGCAAATAGTTTGTTGCATTGCATGGGTGGGCGCCGACGAATTTCTGTTTACTTTAAATCTTTTGTATGCTTAGCAATGCTTCACTTAGTTGTTTTAAGCGCTGCTCATAGAGTATCTAGTTTTATTTTGATGCGTGTGTGCTGGGCTATAAATGTTCTATCTAATTGCAAAAGGGTACCAAAGTAAATAGCTTAAAGCAAGTTGAATATTCTTAAATTTGGGACGCCCCCAGAGTAGGCAGTAATAATTTCAGATTCATTCAAGCTAAATGTTTTGTAAGCAGCCAAAGTGTTTTATTATACAAATTTATTATATTAGAAAACAAAAAAAACGTACTTCACCTTATGAGAATTGCATAGAAGGGCAGTAGCTAAGCTTCACCTCCATATGATTATTTCAGCCTGCACTCGATCTTGAATAATAAATATGAACACAATAAATCTTACGCTACGAGCAAACGTAGCTGCTGACCTGCTACTAGTTTATGAGAATTACATAGAGAGGCAGCACTTAAATGTTAAAGTCCTTTAGCTGGCCAAGCTTCAGTCTGCCATCAAATAAATTTACAATCAATATAGACGAGTCGAATTCATGAGAATCGCACAGAGGGACAGCAGTTAACTTTGATTGGCTAACATAATTTCAAACTGAAATCGAGTGGAAGTTAGTCTGAAGTAGTTCGCTTGCGCTTTTTAATTAAAAAGCCCCAAACACTCATTGTCTGCTGCAGTTTAATTAACATTAGTCATGTTCTTTATTATGCAAATAAACCGCTTCCGCTACAACAACAACAGAAGCAGTAGCGTTTAATGCCGGCAACAATAACAACTTAATTTAAAATTCATTATAACTGACACCAACTAGTTAAACAATTGTCGAGGCCACCCAACAACAAAGGACAATGACTAAAACAGCAGCAGCCGCTAGAAAAACAACTACAATAAACCAACAACTGGGCGCGCTTGAATATTGAAATGAGCCTCGGTCGCACTCGAAATACGCAAATAAACTTCAAAGCAAGCCAACAAGCTGAAAGACTGCACGCTGTGTGCGTCCTGTGTCTCCTACAGGCAGCCAGCCAGAGACCGCCTGGCGAGGGCATAAATAACGGACAGCCCAAGAGTCAAGCAGCAGTCAGGCAGCGAAGCCGTGCAATATCGGAGGCGGCTTGCGTGGCGTATACTTAATTTTATTATGAGGTGTCAAGTGGGCCAGTCGACTTTGCCGCGTTTGCGCTGCCTCTTGGCCTTTTGTTTGTGTTATTTATGTTGTTTCGCTATTCGGCGGCAGGTGAGAAGAGCCGTTACTTGAATGGGAGGCGTATCGTTAACCACCTGCGGTTGCAAAATGTAAACTTCCTTTAGGCATTTGCTTTTTAGTTCTAGTTGTGAGGCTCACGGAAAGCAAAAAAGAAATTGGAATATGCAAATGCCGCAGGAAGTGTAACTGCGACACACAGGCAGCCCGTGTCCTGGCTGAGCTCCTGGCTGTCTGTGCGCTGCATAAAATTAACAAGTTTTGTCGCCCCCAAATGGCTGGAAAAAAAAATAAACCGAAATGTTTCATTAGAGCCATAGCCATGAGCATGTTATTTACCAACAGCTGGCACAGCCAGCCGAACCCCTTGCCACGGCAGCTCTGTGACCCACCCCTTGCCACGGCTTTGTTGTGGCGTCGCGTCAAAGGTGGCGCTGTTTTATAATTGAATTCATATGCCTCAATGGATGAGGCAGGCGCCAGCTACACAGCAACCACAACATTTGGCTGGGGGTTGCGCACATTCTGTAGCCCAACAAGGACTTCTCTCTATGTGTGTGTGTGTGCCATTTGGTGGCATTTCATTTAAATGGATTTTCAATTGCGGTTTGAACATTTTGCATAAATTGCTGTAATGAGTTTATTTCGAGGCAGCAAGTGGCTTCGTTTGCTTACGCCACCCACGCTTCAGCCCTCGGCCTCGCTGCGACTCGTTTGCCTCATTTGCAATTGTCAACTGGCTGTCAGGGTCGACAGTTGTATTGACAGTTTGCTCTTGCTGATAATATTAATTGTGGCATTTCGTTTTCGTTCGACGCCTGGCAACACTTGATGCCATTAAAAATGCCAAATGACTATTGCAACAAAGCTAAGCGAAAAAGCTAAATTATTTGCCAGAAATGATAATGAAAGATGTGGCTTTAATATAATATATTTTTGACTGACAGCTCTAATGACTGATTTAGTGATCCGAATTTCGGCTCAACACTAATCGATCTTCATATGAGTCATCATCATCATTGAAGCGCTGAAAGTACTCGATCTGAAAATTATATCTAACCAGTTCAAATTCAACTGCACTCTATTGCAATGGTCAGCCAATTCAAAATTGTTGGAATATTTCTAACACTAGTTTGGCTGAATGTGAGCATACTGAAGGACTCTTCGATAAATTCTGTAAATAAAAAAATTAATTTTTTTATAGAATGCATCTAAAATCAAGTTCACGAATGCAGTATGTGAGAATTTTAATAAGACTTTGATCTCAATAACCGAATGCCGACTGAGGGCTGTAAGTCGCAACATAACCACATATAATTTTAATTCGACAGTTCATTATCCTGTCACCGATGCTGTGGTCGAAAGTCAATTTTTCAAGAAGGCCAACGGATATAAGCCTTGGCTATACAAGCTGAAATTTGATGGCTGTAAATTCTTAAAAAGAGCCTATAATCCGCTTGTAATTTTAGTTTTCAAGCTCCTCAAGGACTATTCGAACTTAAATCATCCGTGCCCCTATACAGTGAGTATGCGCTCATAGTTAATATTTAAGTCTATTTAAATCATCTTAGGGAGACGTGTATGTAAAGAATCTGCATATCAAAGCGGAAACAATTCCGCTTACAATGCCAACAGGAGAATACTTTTTATCAACGCGTTGGATTCTTAATAAGAAACTAGCAACAAGATTGGATATATATTTTGCATACATAGAAAATATTATAGAGCAATGAGGGTCTATAGAAATTAATGTAATTATATGATACTTTAGAAGATTGCATTCTATGAGGCACAACCTAAGTAATCGTGCTTAAGAAGCGAGCTGAGGTATATTACAATATTGTTTGTTAATAAGATTATAAAAGAGAATAAATAAATTACTATATTTCACTTTGTCCATAATTCAATTGATTTTCATTGAAATGTATATAGTTCGAGTAGAAATCTCTGTAATTTGTTGAATGCCAACCAACGAACCCCTATGGTGCAAGCAATGGACTTCACCGTGTCTACTACCTTTACTCTTCTTTCTACAAGTACTACTACTATTATAACTACTACTACTAGTACTACTACACCTTTTTCTACCAGTACTACTGCTACAACTACTATTACTAATCTTTTTACTATTACTGCTGCTATTTCAATAATACTGCTTAGTCATAAAATTTAAAAAGTTGGCTATCAGCTCTTTGATAATAATAGATCGCTGACTAGTATACAAATTAATGTCAACTGAGAGCTGACTTCCGTTAAACATTAATATATAGTTTTTTTGGCTACCCTTCGTCAGGCACGTGTAGGGTCACGGTCCGAAAACAACCAATTTTATTCTAAAAACAACATTTTTGGATACGTAAGCCACTATACGTAATACGTAAGCCACTATAATAAACGGTATATCTTTAGATGACATTAACGGGACGACTTTGACCTCCTAATGCTAATACCAAGCAAGACACGTCCATAAGAGAAGTCAAAATTTTCAAATTTTTGAATCTGTAGTAACATGAATTTAAAATTTAATATCTTCAATTCTAAGGCAACTAAATTATTTCATATTTATATATACCAAAAAACATAACAGGTACATTAACTTGGTAATGCGAAAATAAACGAAAACATTTGCAGCATATTATTGGAACTGTTCAGGCGAATAGAAAAAAGTGATTTAAAATTCATTTAATGCTAGTTGAAATCAATTTGTCTCACAGTGCGATGGGGACCAGGTGGATGAGTTGCCTACTTCTGACATTATTGCTGTGCTATAATGTGAGTATATGCCGGAGCTGATGAAGAAGAACTTCAAGTAACACAGCTAATACAATTTAAAGGATGCATCGGTATTTAAGTTTACGAATGTGGTTTGTGAATCCCTGAATACCTCATCAATTACCCTCAACGAATGTCGACTGAAAGCTATCAATCGTAATAAAACAGTGTATAATTTTTTTGCCACACTAAATTACCCTGTGAACGATATTGTGGCAGAGTTTCAGTTATTCAAGAAGGCCAATGGATACAAGCCATGGCTGTATAAGAGTAAAATCAATGCCTGCGAGTTCATGAAGAGGCCTTATAGCCCCGTAGTTATTCTAATCTTTAAGCTCGTAAAGGAGAATAGCAACTTCAACCACACCTGCCCTTACTTGGTGAGTGTTAGTCACTTAACCCCACTTCTATATGAATCTGACACTTAATTCTTACAGGGGCCGATGGTTATAAAGGATCTTTGTATCAAATCGGATATGATTCCTCTAGTTTTTCCCACAGGCGATTATTTAGTTGCATCTAAGTGGTACTCATATAAAAAATTAGTAATGATAGTGGACTTATATTTTTCATTTGTTGAGGATCTAATAAAGCAATAAAGCAAAAATGCTCCAGCATCGAAGGCAGTTTCATCATAATTGAATTGAGCCGAAGATTTAATCTCGTTTAATTTAGACACAAGTAAGTGCACTTTAGTTAGGAGCCGATTATCAACTATACGGCGAAAATCTATCATTTTTTGTAAACTTTTTTTGTAGAAAAAATACTAAGTGCTCTACATATACATACGATTGTCGAGATGTAGCTTGAATATATCTGTGGATACCTTAGTTCTCCGAAGGCTCAGCACATCTTCCAATTTTCACCATGGATGCCTTTATAAAGTTGGAATTCCTAATATTGCTATCTTATTATTAAATTATTTTTATTAAACAGTCTACATATAATATTGGAATATCTAATACTGATTATATTATTATAATGAACCGGAACTCAATCTAACAATCATAGGGAATTTAAATATTTTTCAGTTAAATTGAAAATGCTGAAAATACCGATGAAAATCATATTGCACAGTAAATTGTAGCCAATTATGAGAATAGCATGCCTGATGATAGGAACTAATGTAACAATCATGTTATACTAGTTGATATTGATTTGACTTTCAGTGCAATGGCGCTTAGGTGTACGGTTGTTGTTTCGCTGTCATTATTGTTGAGCTATAATGTGAGTACTCGTGGGAGATAGTGGAAAAACTTCATTTAAATATGTCAATTATTTTTAAAGGATGCGACTACATTTAAGTTTACGAATGTGGTTTGTGAATCGTTGAATAGCTCAGCGGTTACTATAAACGAATGCCGACTGAAGGCTATTAATCGCAACAAAACAATATATAATTTTCTAGCAACTATACATCATCCCATAGATGATATCGTAGTGGATATTCAGTTGTTCAAGAGGGCCAATGGGTATAAGCCCTTTCTATATAAGGTTAAGCTCAATGGATGCCAATTCATGAAGAGGGCTTATAACCCAATAATTATTATAGTCTTTAAGCTCATGAAGGACAATAGCAATCTGAACCATTCCTGTCCATTCGTGGTAAGTGGTATTTGTTCTTATTCTTTAATAACAATATTAAGTTATTACTATTCTTATCTTTTTTATGTTATGAATATTACAGGGACCTGTATATTTAAAAAATATTCATGTGACACCAGATAAAATTCCTCTGTTATTTCCCACGGGTGATTATTTAATTTCATCCAACTGGTATTCATATAAAGCATTGACAATGAAGATCAATTTATATTTTTCCTATATTGAGGACCTAATGCAGCAGTAAAATCCCAATTTAACTTGACAGCAATTCAAAAATATTTATAAGAATATCTATCATTACGTATGGTTTATTTAATATATATAACTATTTCAATTATTGTAGTGTTTATTCGAGCAAATAAAAAAAATTATATACAATTTATGTTCCATTTGTTGAAATTGAATTGCCATAAATAATTATGTATCTCACGTGGCCGATTTGCTATAAAATTTTTACTCGTATCGATAAAAATTAAAATTTTGCCTTAACTACAAAAGTAAGATGCATTACATTCAGATTTGAATTTATATATGCAGTTATACATAAATATGTATATATATATTTATATATATATATATACATATATATATATATATATATATATATGTATATGAATATATATACACATACATACATAGATGTAAATAAATGAAATGCCAGCAGTAGTAGCAGTTAGGCATACATTAGGAATCCATAGGAACGATACCAACGGGCAAGCCCATGACCTATAAACTATGGCTTTGTCAGGGTAAGATCGATGAGTGAAGATTTCTTTCTTCTTGGCTGTAATCATTCACGTACTATATATTGCTGAAATATATATTATTGAGCAACAAGAAAAATCAAAATGCAATTACGCTTTTCTTTTTTATCGATCGATATATGATCGATTTTAGCTAAATCAAATGTATTCATTGATGTGGAAAAAATAAAATTTGAATGCAGTCGCTTATGATATTAACTATATTTTATGTGTATTTCATGTTATTATAATCTAATATAAATATAGGTTCGTTTGCGTTCGGAATTATGAAATGGAATAATTTATATACATAATGATCGGTAGTAAAGTCTATCAAAAAGAGTAATTATTGAGCCTATTGGGCCGAATAATACAATATTAATTGTCATTTAAAGTCATTGTTGAAAAGTAATAGTGTAATGCAATCAAACTGAATCCTAACGCGATGGGCAACAGAACGATTTTTCTTGGACTGCTGCTAACATTTTTGGTTTTAAGCCTAAATGTGAGTAAGATTAATAGGATAAATAATATATTATATGTAACTAACTTATTATTTCAATTATTTTCCTTTTCAAAGGATGCTGTTCAATTTAAATTCACAAATTTCGTCTGCGATGTCGTCAACAAATCGTGGGTGAAATTAAACCAATGCCGACTGCACGCCGTTAACCGTAATGAAACGCATTTAAATTTGAATCTGACATTGCTACATCCTGTGAAGAAAGATGTTTTGGTTGAGGGTCAGATATTTAAACGTGAAAATGGCTACAAGCCATGGCTTTATAAGGCATCCCTCGATGGCTGTCGGTTTGTAAGGAAACCCTATAATCCCATTGCAATAATCGTCTATAAGATATTCAAAACATATTCAAACATAAACCACACTTGTCCGTTCGAGGTGAGTAGCAAATTCATTTACTTCTCTTTTTTAGTGATATCCTTTAAAAAATGCTTACAGGGTTTCATAATACTAAAAAAGTTTAATCTGAAATTTGAGTACCTTCCACATGCTTTACCAACAGGCGAATATCTTCTAAAATTGGATTGGATTTTTAGTAAGAAATTGCAGTTGAGAACAAATGCTTACTATAGCTTCATAGAGGACTTATAACCGGTCTAGCTAACTGAATGCAAATTAAGTGTAAATGTCTACTATATTATATTAGCACTGGTGTTGTTTTACAAAAATATCATTCCTTATTCCAAATAAATGAACCAAATTATCTTAAATATAAACTTTTCAGACCCTTCTTCTCCAAAGGCATGAGTAGCAAAATGTATGATAACATTTTTCTGCAAGCCACAAGGCTGCATAATAATATAGTTAAGATTTTCGTCAAACCCGAACTATTTGTAAATGTATTCGAGCGAAGCAACAACAAAGTAATTTCTATAAACAGAAGTGATTAATTCGCTTTGGGCAACAAGCTCGTTACGATTGGACCGCTGCCGGGTTACCATGAAGATGAAGGCCTATAAGACCTGAAGAAGGACTATATATGTTATTTTATGTTCATATTTAAGTCGACGAAAAATTAAACCAATAAGGCAAATTCCACATAGTGAGTATAAGAACTATTTCTTTAACCAAATTATTATCTGTTGTTGATTGCACAAAGGGTGAATATCTGTTAAAATGGATAGGGATTATATGAATTGATGGTAACAACAAAATTATATACTTCAGTTAGAATTAGTAGAAATTATTATATCAATGAATATGAATATATTCTACTCACATAATTGGTAACTGCCATCGGGTGACCACGTCTATCGAGCTGTGAAATTATATTTAAATGAGGCTTGGACCAATTAAAAGTAGAGCAATAAAAAAGAGATTGATTGGAATTGATAGTTGTGTACTTGCTAATGGTTCTATTATATTTTAGTGAACAAGGACAAACGAGCCATAACAAGAATATTTTCAATTTTTACCGATATTCAGCTAGAAAATCAATTGAAATATTTCGCTATGGGCATCCATATACATATCAACAGAGAGTACTTATTGAGTCTATTGGGCCGAAAAATACAATATTAGTTCATTTAAAGTCATTGTTGAAAAATAATGCCAAGTAATGTCAAACTGAATCCAAACGCGATGGACAACAGACCTATTTTTCTTGGGCTGCTGCTATCATTTTTTTTCTAAGCCTAAATGTGAGTAAGATTTATAGGATACATAATATATTATATGTAACTAACTTAACATGTCAATAATTTTTCTTTTTAAAGGATGCTGTTCAATTTAAATTCACAAATTTCGTCTGCGATGTCGTCAACAAATCGTGGGTGAAATTAAACCAATGCCGACTGCGCGCCGTTAACCGCAATGAAACGCATTTAAATTTTAATCTGACATTGCTACATCCTGTTAAGAAAGAGGTTTTGGTTGAGATTCAGTTATTTAAGCGTGAAAATGGCTACAAGCCATGGCTTTATAAGGCATCCATCGATGGCTGTCGATTTGTAAAGAAACCCTATAATCCCGTTGCTATAATTGTCTATAAGTTATTCAAAACATACTCAAACTTAAACCACACTTGTCCGTTCGAGGTGAGTAGCAAATTCATTTACTTCTCTTTTTTAGTGATATTCTTTAAAAAATGCTTACAGGGTTTCATTTTACTAAAAAAGTTTAATCTGAAATTTGAGTACCTTCCAAATGCTTTACCAACAGGCGAATATCTACTAAAATTGGATTGGATTTTTAGTAAGAAATTGCAATTGAGAACAAATGCTTACTTTAGCTTCATAGAGGACTAGCTAACTGAATGCAAATTAAGTGTAAATGTCAACTATATTATATTGGCACTGGTGTTGTTTTACAAAAATATCATTCCTTATTCCAAATAAATGAACCAAATTATCTTAAATATAGACTTTTCAGACCCTTCTTCTCCAAAGGCATGAGTAGCAAAATGTGTGATAACATTTTTCTGCAAGGCACAAGGCTGCATGGCAGGCAAGCTTAATACGCCCACTCCCTTATCAACTCGCATAACTCTATGGCATTGCTCTGTAACCATACTAATTCGACCGTTGCCATAGTATTTGGGGCCCATTTTCAAATCTCGCATAAGCAAAGCGTTCATTACCCAATTATTTATTGACAACTGTATGTGTTTGTGTGTGTGTGTGCAATAGCTATATTACAGTTGAAATATCTAAACCATGGCAGCAGCAATCGCCGGCAAATGGACTTTGAACTTAGCTATTATATGCGATTGCTGACACACTTGGACTTGTATTGATGCCAGCTATGAACATGATTGTTTTGTTATTACCAAAATTATTCCACTGAATAGGATAATTGATATAATATACAGTGCTAGGTTATTAAACATTGAATAGTCTTAAATTGACATGGACGTTGGGTTTTTGCTTGCGGATTACTGCCCATTGACTGGACCAAAACGTGAGCATTCACAGCTTTTATTGATGTGTGGAAAGCATTTAACATGTGATTTGAGGACGCAACTAAACTGAAACGTTGTTGTAAGACTAGAGACAAATCGCTGTCCTCTGTGACTCGCTGTCCATGAACGACTGTGTGCTGTAGATGGGAATTCATATACTTTTACGACTAACTAATGATAAGATTTATAAGCGAACCAGTGATTTCAGAGCAAGGTCTAGGACACACTTGATAAGTGCATTTTAAATAAGATGAAAAATTAGAGGAACATGACTCAAATCTGTCTCTAAATCGTTAGTAGATTTAAGTATATATCTAGCTCTATATACATTTGTATTAGCTAAACATGCTCAGAAGATTAATTTAAGTTGTGCATTTTCAGAGCGTATTTTTGAAATATAAGTAGTTCGTTTATATGTAAATATTGCATATATATAACAGTTTTAATTGCATATTCATATTTATATATATTATATATAATGAACTTTTAATTATTTATGGTTAATATGAAATGTAATGCAGTTTTAATTAGTTTTATTTGAAGTGAAATGCAAAATTGAAAAATAATTTGAGAGATAAGAATTTTCGTATGTTAAACAATTTATTGATGTGAATTAAAACCTACATATTTTTCTATAAATAAAACTCTGACTTTCAAAAATGATGATCATTATTCATTCATTATATTTGGATTGCTGGCATTGCATTCGTGCTTAAATGTGGGTAAAAACATAAAAATATTTGTATTAATTTCATTGAGTTCTTCCGCCAGGACGATGCTATGTTCAAATTTACAAATGTTGTTTGCGGCACCTTGAACGATAGCTGGATAATATTTTCTGAGTGTAGACTGTATGCTATCAACCGGAATAAGACTACTCTGACGATTGTTGCGAACGCACACTATGCCGTCAATCAAGTTTTGATTGATGCTCAGTTATTCAAGAAAGCGAGTGGCTACAAGCCATGGGTCTACAAAGGCAAATTCGATGGCTGCCAATTTCAGAAGAAGCAATCAATACCTATTGTTAAATTCGTCTTTAATATGCTGAAGAATAATACCAATATGGTTCATACCTGTCCCTATATCGTGAGTATAACGAAGCGGAAATCTCTATGTATATATTTTAAGTTTCTATATATTGAAAATAGGGTGAAGTATACATTAGGGATCTGCATATACAAATGCACTATTGGCCGCATACGATTCCAACGGGTGAATATATGATCAAATGTTTGTGGATTCTCAATAATCAGCGCAGAGCAACCCTAGATGTGTATTTTGGTTTCACAGAGGATCTTATAGAGCAATGAAATGTTTTAAGTTATCAAATAAGGTGTTATAAATGTCATATGTTATGTCATATGTTATATGTCATATGTAATCTGTAAGTTGTAAGAGCGGGCGTTTGACTTTTTAAGGGCGATCCGCGAACGCTGAAACTGTGAATTTAATAGGTTTAATAGGTTTAGGCCTTGGCATAGCACAGTTATTATATAATATATTTAATGACATTTTAGTATAAACAGTTAGCTGCTTACAAATTGTTTTTCAACTTAGGTGATAGTTATATTGATAAGATTTTCGTAAAATTCGAATTAATTGTAAAATTAATAAAATAATTTCTATAGACAGAACTGATGAATTGATATACATCGCTGTGGGCATCAAGTTCCATTCACTAAACTACTTGTTATGTTCGCGAAGAATTATACTAATATGGCACATTTCACATAGTAAGTATAGGAACTATTTCCTTTACTAAATAATTATCTGTTGTGGATTGCAGGGACCTATCTTTGTAAAGGAATTGCACAAAGGGTAAATATATGTTGAAATGTATGGAGATTCTATGAATATATGGTAACAGCAAAATTATATAATTCAATTGCAGTAGATCTTAAAATATCAATGAATATGAATATATTCTACTCACTTCAGAAGTGACTTAGTGGTAACTGAAATCGGGTGACCACGTCTGTCGAGCTGTGAAATTATATTTAAATGAGGCTTGGACCAATTAAAAGTAAAGCGATAAAGAAGAGATTGATTGGAATTGATAGTTGTGTAGTTGCTAATGGTTCTATTATATTTTAGTGAACGAGGAAAATCGAGCCATAACAAAAATATTTACAATTTTTACCGATATTCTGCTAGAAAATCAATTCAAATATTTCGCTATGGGCATCCAGTTCTATGTAATTGGACCGCTGCTTCTATTGATGGCATTTCATCTCTGTTTTAATGTGAGTAAGCAAGAATACATACATTCACTATTAATATATATCGTTTAGGAAGCAGTTATATTTAAGTTTACGAATGCGGTCTGCGTCAATCATAATAAAAGTTGGATTAATCTGCATTCGTGCCGATTGCGAGCTGTCAGTCGCAATAAAAATACTTTCAATTTGAATTTGACTCTCAACTATCCTGTGTACCATGCGGGTGTCAGAGGTCAAATATTTCAAAAGGCCAACGGATATAAGCCTTTGCTCTTCGCCGCAAGCATTGACGCTTGTCGCTTCTTGAAGAAGCCATACAACCCAATTGCAATTATCATTTTATAACTCTTCAATGAATTTTCTAACTTCAATCACACGTGCCCCTACAATTTAAGTATAAATAACTTATTTTGAATATCTTAAATTATATAAATTCTCGATAGGGTCCGATTTTGATACAAGGCTTCTATTTGCGCTTCGAGAAAATACCAAATGCGATGCCAACAGGTGAATATCTGTTGACATTGGAATTTCTGTGCGACAATAGGCCGCAGATAACAACGAATGTTTATTTTGCCTTTATCGAGGATCTGTTATCATCATAAATAAGAGTTGCTTTTTTTGTTTACTTTTCTTGAATTCCTTCAGAATGACAATTCAGAGAATAATAGTTTTAATTAAAGAAGCTTAGTTCGCAGAAACAATAAAGTATGAAAAACTTTAACTAAATTGAGTACTTTAATCATGTCTTACGCCTTACGTCTTTCAAACAGAATTGTATCAATATTTTAAGCACAACGAACATCTGCTTTCTGGTTGCTTGGTTCCGTAATACAGTCGGCCAGTGTAATCACTCACGAATTATAGATTGCAGAAATATATTTTATTGAGCTATTATATACAATAAAAATCAAAAAGCATTTGTGCCTTTGTATTTCTTCTCATATAATCGTTTTTAGCTGCTGAAAATATATTCATTGATGAGAAAAAATGGAATATTACCAGTATGTCAGATAATTATATATTATATTAGTACTTATATAGTATATTCTGAATATACTTTGAAGATAATGAGTAATTATTGAGTCTATTGGAGCAAAAAATACAATATTAATTGTTATTTAAAGTTAAAAGTAATAGTGAAATGCAATCAAACTAGATCAAAACGCGATGGACAACAGACCGATTTTGCTTGGACTGCTGCTAGAATTTTTAGTGCTGAGTCTGAATGTAAGTGAGATTTATAGACTATATAGTATATTCTATGTAAGCATTTTATTATTTCATTTTTTTCTCTTTGAAAGGACGCTGTTCAATTTAAATTCACAAATTTTGTCTGTGAAACTATCAATAAATCGTGGGTTAACATAACTCAATGCAAGTTGCAGGCTGTTAGCCGTAATGAGACATATTTAAATTTTAATGTGACATTGCTACAACCTGTTAATAAAGATGTTTTGGTTGAAGGTCAGATATTTAAACGTGAAAATGGCTACAAGCCATGGCTTTATAAGGCATCCCTCGATGGCTGTCGGTTTGTAAGGAAACCCTATAATCCCATTGCAATAATCGTCTATAAGATATTCAAAACATATTCAAACATAAACCACACTTGTCCGTACGAGGTGAGTAGCAATGTAATTGTTTATCGTTAAAAGTTATTCTTACAAAATGTTTACAGGGTTATGTATTAGTCCAAAAATTGAATCTGAAATTTGAGTACCTTCCACATGCTATACCAACGGGCGATTATCTATTGAAATTGGATTGGCTTATTGAAAAAAAATTGCAATTGAGAACAAATGTTTTCTTTAAGTTCGTGGAGGACTTATAAGTAGACTAGCTAAGTAAATGCTAGACACACAAACACTTCCGTTACTTAAAAATATTTACTTTTACTTTCTTTTAAATAAATTAACCAGATTAACTTGCATATTGACTTCCCCAGACGCATAAATAGCTTTCAGCAGTGCACATGGTCGCATGGCAGGCAAGTTTAATACGCCCACTCCACTATCAACTCGCATAGCTCTATGGTTTGCTCTGTAAAGGTACTAAGTAGACCATTGCCATTGTCTTTGGGGCCATTTTCAAATCTCGCATAAGCAAAGCATTCATTTTCCAATTATTTATTGATAACTGTATGTGTATGTGTATGTGTGTGTGTGCAATAGCTAAACTACAGTCGAAATACCTACCCCTTGGCAGCAGCAATCACCTGCAATAAATCTTTTGGCCCTGGCCAGGACTCAGCTGCATGGGGAGCCACAGATGGCTGTGGTTCGTCTGGACTGGCTTTGGCTTGCAAGGTGGCAAGGCAATGTCTGGCAGTTGTTGTCTGCAAAATATTTGCATTTTCACTTTTGATTTATTATTGTCATTGCCATGTGTAAATTGCCAAAGCAAAGGTGCCAACAAGCAGCAGCCACAACAGCAATGCATACATGTGTGTGTGTGTGTGTGTGTGTTTGCTGCGTTGACAAGGACACATTATGTTGGCCAAATGAATGGTAATTGCGGCACTGAAACAAGTAATTGAAGTGCAATTCGTTCAAGCTTCTCAAATAGATACGTCGCCTGTGGTTGAGCCACACACACTTCCACTCTGCCATTCTGCCACTCTGTTGCTTGTTGTTGCAGCGCTGATTTAGCTGGCCACACTTCGATTAGTGCGCTTGTCTGTTGCACTTTCAAGTTAAAGTCGAGTTTGCTAATTACAAGTTCAAATTGGCCTGGCAAGCGTACAAGTTCTGCTTCCACTTCTCTGCCTTACAGCTGCCATTGCCTATTACTTCCGCTTCTATGCAATTTCCGCTTGGCGCTGCCTAAGCTGCTTGCCAGCAAAATGTCAACATTATATGGCCGCAAGACGAGGCTGTAATGACAACAGCATGAAAGGACAGAGCACAACATAACCAGATAATTACACAGCAAGCTGTCCAGGCGCTGCCTCTCCTGCGAGCGTTGCCAGCCTCAAAGTGGAAAATGACAAAATAAAAAACCACAAGCGGAAAATTAACAGGCAGGCGGCAATACGTTTGGCCAAAATGGAATGTCTGGCTCTTAAAGTCTTACTGCCTAGTTAAAGACAAATGCCAACTCATTTCTAGCTGCGGGCAGCTTGAACTTTATCAAGATGCCTATCGCCAGTAAATGCAAAATTCCTGTTTAACAAAATTCCGAACTTCGACATTTCGTACATTTTTGACTGTCTGTGCGCGCTGTAAGCGAGAACCAACAAACCAATCTCCCATCATCGCTCTCTCCCTTCTTCCTTCTGCCCGCAAAGCCGGCAGCTACATTTAAATGTGCCGCCAACTTTTGGCTGTGTGGCTGGCAGCCACCTGGAAACCACCCGCGTGGATGCTGCCGCCGTCTGGCACTGATTTCATGGTTTATAACCTTCGATATGCGAATGGCAAACAACGTTTAGCGCTTTGCCAGCCGACAAGTGTGGCTCCGCTGCTCGAGGGCTTCAAATCCAACACGGGGCGTATACGCAATATTTACGACTCCACTCATACAAGAGTTTTCTTTTCTGTTCTTTTTTTTTGTCAGTTTGCCGTGAGGGTTGCTAGCGCTCGACATTTTTGGTATTTCCATACATCAAATATTTATGCCATATTTTAGCTATTGCGACAATGAGTTAAATCTGATGGAATTCCAAAGCTCTGTTTGCTGAGCCGCAGCGTCTGCGATAATAAAGTTTAAAGCTGATAAACGTTTTGGCAATCAAATTATGCGCATAACCAGATGAGGGAAAAAGGTAACAAAATTGTTGTGCGGCGTGACAGAGAAAGCGACTGAGAGAGAGAGAGAGAGAGAGGTAGTTGTGTGTGCAGTGAAATTTAGATAGCATTTTAGCTTAGGGCAAGAAGTAGACACAGTTAGGGGTTCGTTTGAAGTAAATTTGAAAATGGGAGCTTTAATATATATTTTAATATATTATATATGAATAAGAAATGTAGCTCAAAGTGCCAATAGTTTGACAGAAATAGAAAAAATATTTTGCTTGGAATGCATATAAATAATGCATGTAAGACAGTGACTAAATTAGCATTTGGTATGGCGTAACTCTTTATTGTATCATAAAAAAGTATAGTTTTAGGTACTTAAAATTACTTTTCATATCTTGACTTCAACTTCAGCAACAAGAATTGCTATTTAACGCTTAAACTTGCATTAGGCTTTCACAAATTTTAATCTGTCATAGTCTAAGCTCATTTGCATGATAATAAAGCTTTGCAATTAATACTCTGAAAGTACTGAAAGCTTAAGCAAGCAACATGCCATCTGTATGATTGCATGCTTGTAGGCCTAACTAGTTATATTGGCCACACTTCAAAGTTGGTAATCCGTATTCATTTGCATTTAATCCATGTTTTGACAGTGACAAATTTATGCATTTAGCTAAAGCCAAAGACAAATTGAATTTGTGCAGCAAAGTGCAAGACGGCGAGAGTTGTACTGCTCTGCTGGCAATCCTTTGCACATGATATTGTTATTTTTGTCGTAATTAAAAACCCATGAAAGCGACGACCAAACAACTAGCCACAATCGCATGAGCAGACAGACACATACCCAGCTGGAGTGTGTGGTAAAATAAACATGGGCGTATTGATGATGGGAGCTGCTCGTATGGCAGAAACTTTCATATCAATTTTAAGCCAAAGTAATGAAAAAGTAACGACGAGGAGCTGGCAAAAAAGGAAATACTGAAAGAAACGAAAAAGCAAACGGAATGGAACGGAACGTATAGACAAAGCATATTTACACAAGCACAAGTAAACGCAGGACCAAAGCAGGACAACGTTGACTGTGATGACGATGACGACGACGACGATGATGATGATAATGTTGCTGCTGATGATATTGTTGTTAGCAGCACACAAAGCAACGCTTATGACAAGCGACTTTCCAAAAAATAAAAGCGAATGCCCACTGCCCAGATCTAAGGATACTGTTTACACACAGGACCTCCACCTACAAAGTATGGGCGCGTCTGCGGGCGAACGAAATTAAAAACCAATAAAAAGCTGCACACGAAATTAAAAATTATGTTTTCCTTTTTACATTTTATTGCTGCACAAAAACAGCAGTAAAAATTTTGTAGAAACGCATTAAAAAAAGCAGAAAATAATACAAAAATTGTAAAACATAAAGCGCAAAGTTTTCGCTTTAATACAGTTGGAAAATATGCTAAAAAATAACAGAACTTTTTGTTTTCATGTGCAGTGTGTGCTGGGTGCTGCCACTGGGCAATAGAATATGTAACGCACGATAAATAGAGAAAGCCGGAGAAGAAGGGAGACAGGGAAGGATAGAAAGAAAGAGAAACTGTGAGAGGGAGAGAGAGAGAGAGAGAGAGAGAGGGAGATACAGTGAGAGGTGTAGAGAGAGGGAGATACAGTGAGAGGTGTAGAGAGAGAGAGAGAGACAGAGATAGAGAGAGAGAGAGAGAGAGAGAGAGAGAGAGAGAGAGACAGAGAGAGAGAGAGAGACAGAGAGGGAGAGAGTGATAGATTCAGAGAGTGATAGATTCAGAGAGTGTGAAAAAGACGGAATGAGTGAAATACATATATAGAGATAGAAATAGGTTTAGATAGAGATGGAGGGATATAAATTGAAAAGTGGTAATATATATCTAAATTAGTCTTTTCGCCTTAACTACTACTACTACTACTAACTAGCTTAACGACTAACCAAAATTGTATATCAAATTCTAAGCCATCGAAATATTGAATTTCTCTTCTGTTTCACAGTTAGAGTATTTAGTTAGTCGACTTTCAGACTGACTTAAATATTCCGCTTGTTTTTTGAATGTTGTAAACTTTTACAATTAAGCAAAGGAATAAAAGTTGCGCGCGCTTCTAAATTGTTGCTGTGCATTTCGATAATTGAATATTTGAGCTAAGCTGCAGACAGTTAAAAAAGGAAGAGAGAAAAAAGTGTAGCATATATTTCAGCGCCAGGGCAACAGTTAATTGACGCTGAGGCACTTGACGTCCGATATAGAAGTCCAATGCCTGTATAGGTATGCATATTTTCTTGGTTTATCTGGCATTTGGCATGCATAGTGAAATGTTCAGTTCGTTGGGCCGGTATTCAGTTTGAGCAATTAAACAGCGAGTCGGGGTCGAGTCATTCATTTAATTTACTACCTGCAATTCAACCAGTAGCAGCCATAGAGCCCCCTCCTTTTTATGGCAGTTGCTACTTGCCAGGTCCGCTGCATAGCTCTTGGCCATGAATAATTTAAGCAAATCGCTGGCTCTTTTTCGTCTGTACGTGTCGACTGTGCGGGATTAGACGGCATTTGCATATTTTAATTATTTAGATTGTTGTGTTGAGCTACTTACGCGCCGCACTGTCTCTGACTGCGACTGTGCGTAACGTATAACGGATGTTCAAGCGGAACTGTCGGCGACGCCAGACAGCCCCGAAAACATACCAAAAAAAAAGCAGTCGAAACTTAATTAAAAGCCGTCGTTCTCTACTTGAGAGCTGCAATCCTAACCGGTAACTGCTGCTGGGCAATAGGTTGTTATCAATAGGTTGGGCATGCAGCAAATGGTTATTCAAAGTTAATTTAAGAAACACCAAAATCTACGCAATAAATTGAAGTTGCTATGAAGGGTGATGATAGAGTTCCATCTGTTCTCCATTTGTTATTATGCTTTAACTAGCCTTGAAGTTGTTCTAATCTAGAACAACTCAAGGACAATGTGGCTTAAAGGCATTTCTTTTAGTTGTGTAGCTCGCAAGTTTGTTAACCAAAAACTAACCAAAGCCAAACTTAAGTTAAGCCAATAACGTTACCAGAAAAAAAAAAGA